TCGGTGCCACGCATCGTCCGCCATTCTGACAGCCCGGGCGCTCACAGGTAGCTATAAGGTAGGCTCCTTAATTACTTATTTAAGACATTCTGCATAAATTAAAAGCTTGGAAATTGTATCGTTAGTATTGTGGTGGTGATATGGTGACATTATAGGGCTAAAAAAAAAAAAGTGACTTACGCTGACACCTGAAGTCGTCCGGGAGGTCCCAGGCACCGTCCTTGCAGAGTGCCACTCCTCCAGGCGCCGTGCCAGGGGGAAGAACGTATCCTTCGTGGCACTCCACTCGCAGTCCGTCGTCGTCAGTGCGTGCAAAGGTAGCCTGTGCGTCCGGGAATGAAGGCTCAGGGCACTCTCTCGCCTCGCAGTTCTTGCCCTTGTACCCAGGGCTACACTGGCACTGGCTCGGAGCTATGCAAGTGCCTCCATTTTGGCACCCATTTAAGCAGTTAGCTAAAGGACAGAATGATTATATTTTCCTTTATTTTTATTTTGTCTGTTGATATAAGGTGAAGTATAAAGCTGGCAAATAATTCTCATTTTAATAACTTATTCTTTGGCATCAAATTACATATTTAAACAGCAAAAGAGTGCAAAACCTTGATGACGTCAGCAGAGGCAATTCATCTCTCTAGGCCTATTACTAGCTCTTCTCTCCATCAACCTTCTGTAAAATGCCCTGCTGCACATCACTCTTTTCTAATACGGCTCAGTCGTCGTCCGTCAAACAAATTTTGTTCGAAAATCTGAGATTTGATGATTCATTCAAGCATAATAAGCATAATAACAACATTGGCCAATCAGCTGATGTGACGTCACTGAGGCTTTTTTTCCCCCAAATTACTTGGAAAATATCTTGGTGACTTACGCTGACACCTGAAGTCGTCTGGGAGATCCCAAGCACCGTCCCTGCAGAGTGCCACTCCTCCAGGCACTGTGCCTGAGGGAAGAACGTATCCTTCGTGGCACTTCACTTGCAGTTCGTTGTCAGTGCGGTTAAAGCTAGCCTGTGCGTCCGGGAATGAAGGCTCAGGGCACTCTCTCGCCTCGCAGTTCTTGCCCATGTACCCAGGGCTACACTGGCACTGGCTCGGAGCTATGCAAGTGCCCCCATTCTGGCACCCTTTTATGCAGTTTGCTGAAGGTCACAACGAATGTTCATTATGATTATTTCCTTTGGCTCTACTGTACTGGGCTACACTGGCACTGGCTCGGAACTATGCAAGTGCCTCCATTCTGGCACCCACTTACACAATTAGCTGAATGACAGAATGAGGTCTTCTTTATAATTTCTTACTTTGCATTTTGCTCGATCTCTATTTCTTCTCTATGCATGTATATTTTTTTAAGGTACTGTATGGTTCTTGGTAACAAATTCTTTATACATTTGGCCCATATGTCGGCTATTGCACTAAGCTTATTTTGTGCTATGAAGTGGCAATTATTTCGATAACCCGTGAGACTAAAAGCCGTTGGGAGAATGTTTAACCTGTGTAAACAATCGTTCATAGACCCAGGAAACGGATTTTGCTACGAAGAAGCGTTTGAAAAAATATAATTTAATCATTACATATTTAACGCAGCTTGTCATAGTAACTGGCTTGATGCATTTAGACTTACATGTGTGCAGAAAATCAATATATTTCACAGTGGAAGAGTAGCATGACTTACACAGGTTGAAAATAAATGTCAGAAGATATCACTTATGGGTATGCACCGCGTGCTCAAATAACAATCTAATAAAATTGAAGTTATATGCATTGCATTCTAAATGATAACAAAAGGGATTCAAAACGAATGTTAATCAAGCAAATTCATCCACCATTGTTCTTATAGTGTGTTATCTTAAGTATTATTCTTAATATTATCATAATTATCATGATATTATCATGATATTTTTTTTGTAACATCGCCATTACTATATTCAAGATCATAATCATGTTAATGAAGTTGTCACTGTTGTCACCATTATCATCATTCACAATATGCCGGGAATCGTTACTCTCTGTGTTTTGTTTTACTAATCCAATTATAAAAAAAAATTGTCCAGAGTGGTTATTGATGAAGGAACACCCCTGGAAGCGGCTAGAAAATATCTGTTACTTACACTGACACCTGAATTCGTCCGGGAGGTCCCAGGCACCGTCCTTGCAGAGTGCCACTCCTCCAGGCGCCGTGCCAGGGGGAAGAACGTATCCTTCGTGGCACTCCACTCGCAGTCCGTCGTCGTCAGTGCGTGCAAAGGTAGCCTGTGCGTCCGGGAATGAAGGCTCAGGGCACTCTCTCTCCTCGCAGTTCTTGCCCTTGTACCCAGGGCTACACTGGCACTGGCTTGGAGCTATGCAAGTGCCTCCATTTTGGCACCCATTTACACAGATAGCTGAGTGACAGAATGAGACCTGAATGATAGTTTTCTTGACCTGATTTTTATTTGACTTTCTCATTTAGGCGTAAAATATCTCAGAGCAGTTGAAGACCCCGCAGACATGGAGCTATGACCCGCTATTGTCTGCCTATGACCTGACTAGCATCACTTTAATTCGCACGCTTCTTGCTATAGTTATTGTTGCTGATATACTTGTTATCCTGTTTATGTTGACTGATTAATTGGTATTTGACCTGCACTCTGATGACATCTCAAAGAATTGTGTTTACTTTTTCATATAAGGTACCCTACAATATATATATATATATATATATATATATATATATATATATATATAGCATATATATATTTTTTTTCGAGTAGGACCTCATATGAACCTCGAAACTTATGAGCCTACAAATCCGCCGCGAGGCCCTCTATCTCCGAGTTTTGAATATCTAGCCCCAGATATGTTGCATAAAGACTATTTCGTAATCGTTATAATAATTATCATTAGGAAGATTATCATTATCATACTGACAGTGTCCGTCATCTTTATGTGTAATAATCTTGGGAGAGTATTACTATAACAGTCATAATCATGTTCATATGAAGCTTTTACTGTAAAATATAACATCATTTTTATATCCCAGTCATGATTACTATCACTGCAGTTAATTTTGCTCTTAATGTTGACGATATTGCTCTTAGAATCGCTCCGATCACCGATATTATCACTAATAGTTCATTTTCATGTGTTCTCTTACCATTCTAAATACATTGACAAAATTGTTAGTGAAGATAACAAGAAGACAGAAGCTGGAAAATATTTTGGTGACTTACGTTGACACCTGAAGTGATCCGGGATGTCCCAGGCACCGTCCTTGCAGGGTGCCACTCCTCCGGGCACTGTGCCTGAGGGAAGAACGTATCCTTCGTGGCACTTCACTTGCAGTTCGTTGTCAGTGCGGTTAAAGCTAGCCTGTGCGTCCGGGAATGAAGGCTCAGGGCACTCTCTCGCCTCGCAGTTCTTGCCCATGTACCCAGGGCTACACTGGCACTGGCTCGGAGCTATGCAAGTGCCCCCATTCTGGCACCCTTTTATGCAGTTTGCTGAAGGTTACAACGAATGTTCATTATTATTTTCTTTGGCTCTACTGTATTTTCTTAAAAATGATAGCCAGAACCAGGAGCAAACCTTGATGACATCAGCAAAGGCATCTCCCGAGGCCCGTCTCTGCTCTCTGTTAGTATCTTTCTAGAAACTTTCTCTCTCTCTCCTACTCTCCCTCCCCTGATCCACTCTCTCACTCTATGTATGTCTGTCTGCCTGTCTGTCTGTCTGCCTATCTATATAACTATTTACCTACTTATCTATCTGTGTATGTCTGTCTGCTCGCGCCTGACATATTAAGAGCATCAGTCAATTACTTGATGTGACGTCACCAATAAGTATCTATTTTCATTAAAAATGTCATTCTTAACATTATCATAATTAGAATTATATTGTTAAAATATTCTTTCTTGCAGATGTTATCATTTTCATAACTATTAGCATATCACTATGATCATCATCGGCATCATCATCCTTACCATTACCTTCATCATTATTGTCGATGTTGTTATTATTGTTAATGAGGGTGAAAAAATCCTGAAAGAGGCTGGAAAATATCTTACGTTGACACCTAACGTCAATGTAAATATAATCTTGATCCTCAACGTTTTCTCTTGTTCTATTATTGACAAGTGATTGTCCAAAATTCTTAATGGAGATAACAAGACAGACGCTGCAAAATATCTATACTTACGCTGACACCTGAAGTCGTCCGGGAGGTCCCAGGCACCGTCCTTGCAGAGTGCCACTCCTCCAGGCGCCGTGCCAGAGGGAAGAACGTATCCTTCGTGGCACTCCACTCGCAGTCCGTCGTCGTCAGTGCGTGCAAAGGTAGCCTGTGCGTCCGGGAATGAAGGCTCAGGGCACTCTCTCGCCTCGCAGTTCTTGCCCTTGTACCCAGGGCTACACTGGCACTGGCTTCGGAGCTATGCAAGTGCCTCCATTTTGGCACCCATTTACAGCAGGTAGCTGAGTGACAGAAGGAGACCTGAATGATAGGTTTTCTTGACCTGATTTTTTATTTAACTTTTTCATTTAGGCATATATATACATATATATATATATACATACATATATATATATATATATATATATATATATATATATATATATATATATATATATATATATATATTCTTGTATTTCATATACTCTGTCTCTTTTAAGGTCTATTTCTTGCGATTTTTATTTGACTTTCTCATTTAGGCGTAAAATATCTCAGAGCAGTTGAAGACCCCGCAGACATGGAGCTATGACCCGCTATTGTCTGTCTATGACCTGACTAGCATCACTTTAATTCGCACGCTTCTTGCTATAGTTATTGTTGCTGATATACTTGTTATCCTGTTTATGTTGACTGATTAATTGGTATTTGACCTGCCCTCTGATGACATCTCAAAGAATTGTGTTTACTTTTTCATGTAAGGTACCATACAATATATATATATATATATATATATATATATATATATATATATATATATACATATATCTATATATTTTTCCGAGTAGGACCTCATATGAACCTCGAAACTTATGAGCCTACAAATCCGCCGCGAGGCCCTCTATCTCCGAGTTTTGAATATCTAGCCCCAGATATGTTGCATAAAGGACTATTTCGTAATCGTTATAATAATTATCATTAGGAAGATTATCATTATCATACTGACAGTGTCCGTCATCTTTATGTGTAATAATCTTGGGAGAGTATTACTATAACAGTCATAATCATGTTCATATGAAGCTTTTACTGTAAAATATAATCATCATTTTTATATCCCAGTCATGATTACTATCACTGCAGTTAATTTTGCTCTTAATGTTGACGATATTGCTCTTAGAATCGCTCCGATCACCGATATTATCACTAATAGTTCATTTTCATGTTTTCTCTTACCATTCTAAATACATTGACAAATTGTTAGTGAAGATAACAAGAAGACAGAAGCTGGAAAATATTTTGGTGACTTACGTTGACACCTGAAGTGATCCGGGATGTCCCAGGCACCGTCCTTGCAGGGTGCCACTCCTCCGGGCACTGTGCCTGAGGGAAGAACGTATCCTTCGTGGCACTTCACTTGCAGTTCGTTGTCAGTGCGGTTAAAGCTAGCCTGTGCGTCCGGGAATGAAGGCTCAGGGCACTCTCTCGCCTCGCAGTTCTTGCCCATGTACCCAGGGCTACACTGGCACTGGCTCGGAGCTATGCAAGTGCCCCCATTCTGGCACCCTTTTATGCAGTTTGCTGAAGGTCACAACGAATGTTCATTATTATTTTCTTTGGCTCTACTGTATTTTCTTAAAAATGATAGCCAGAACCAGGAGCCAATTACTTTTTTTCAGCCAAAATTACTCTTAGGTATCATATGCTAAGTTTATCCAGAAAATTATTTGATTTTGTTCAATAGATTTGAAAAAAAACGGCAAACCTTGATGACATCAGCAAAGGCATCTCCCGAGGCCCGTCTCTGCTCTATGTTAGTATCTTTCTAGAAACTTTCTCTCTCCTACTCTCCCTCCCCTGATCCACCCTCTCACTCTATGTCTGTCTGTCTGTCTGTCTGTCTGTCTGTCTGCCTATCTATATAACTATCTACCTACTTATCTATCTGTGTGTATGTCTGTCTGCTCGCGCCTGACATATTAAGAGCATCAGTCAATTACTTGATGTGACGTCACCAATAAGTATCTATTTTCATTAAAAATGCCATTCTTAACATTATCATAATTAGAATTATATTGTTAAAATATTCTTTCTTGCAGATGTTATCATTTTCATAACTATTAGCATATCACTATGATCATCATCGGCATCATCATCCTTACCATTACCTTCATCATTATTGTCGATGTTGTTATTATTGTTAATGAGGGGGAAAAAATCCTGAAAGAGGCTGGAAAATATCTTACGTTGACACCTAACGTCAATGTAAATATAATCTTGATCCTCAACGTTTTCTCTTGTTCTATTATTGACAAGTGATTGTCCAAAATTCTTAATGGAGATAACAAGACAGACGCTGCAAAATATCTATACTTACGCTGACACCTGAAGTCGTCCGGGAGGTCCCAGGCACCGTCCTTGCAGAGTGCCACTCCTCCAGGCGCCGTGCCAGAGGGAAGAACGTATCCTACGGTGGCACTCCACACGCATTCCGTCGTCGTCAGTGCGTGCCAAAGGAGCCTGTGCGTCCGGGAATGAAGTCACCCCCCCCCAGGGCACTCCTCGCTCGCAAGTTCTTGCCCTTGTACCCAGGCTACACTGGCACTGGCTCGGAGCTATGCAAGTGCCTCCATTTTGGCACCCATTAAAGCAGTTAGCGATCAGAAGGAGACCTTGAATGAGGTTTCTTGACCTGATTTTTTTAATTAACTTTTTTTCATTTAGGCATATAAATACTTATATATATATATACATACAAAAATAATATATAATATATATAGATATATATTATATATATATATATAATATCTTTTACGAAATATCAATAGTCATGGAGACTTACGCTGACACATGAAATCGACCGGGAGGTCCCAAGCAACCGTCCGTGCAGGATCGCCACTAATACAGACGTCGTGCCGGGGAAGAACGATCCTCGTGGCACTCCACTCGCAGTCCGTCGTCGTCAGTGCGTGCAAAGGTAGCCTGTGCGTCCGGGAATGAAGGCTCAGGGCAACTCTCTCGTCTCGCAGTTCTTGCCCTTGTACCCAGAGCGGTAAGCCTTCATGACATCAGCAGAGGCTCTCCATCTTAGGCCCGCACATTGCTCCTTGGTTTTTGCAATTTCTACAACTTTCTTTCCCTGATTCTCTTTCAACAACTCTCTCTCTCTCTCTGTCTTTAATCTCCCAGGTCTTTTAATTCGCCCATTCCGTCTCTTTCATTTTATGAATTCTCCTATTATTTCTTTCTCTCCCCCGTCTCCATATCTCTCTATACGCCCCCTTCCTTCGTTTTCTTTCGCTCTCTTTGTCCATTTCTTTCTTTCTTTCTCTCACTTTCTAGTCATTCATCCTCCTTCGTTCTGTCTAGCTGGCGTGAACTAGATTACCTGCTACACTCCTCTCTAGACCTGCTCTTTTGCAACTCACCCCTTTTTTGCGTCCTTAAGATAAATTCGTCTAAAATGAGCTTCTGCTGAGAATATTAGTCAATTCATTGGCAGAAATAAGAGCAGCATCAGCTCAAGGCTTTCCGCAGTTTCTGGAATTCCAGTTTTGGGTCTTGCGCTCAGGCGGACTTCACGCGCGATGTGAGGGTCAGAGTTATGGATACTATTCTGATATTATAATCATGATTATATTGTAACTGAAATATATTAAATTTTTCAGCAATATTATCATTATTATCATGGTCTTGATAATCAATTTTTTTGATAATCATCATTTTGTCGCTGTTATTGCTAAGTTAATGAATGCTTAGAAAAATCTGAAAGAGGCTGGAAAAATCTTACGTTGACACCTACGTCAATGTTAAATATAATCTTGATCCTCAACGTTTTCTCTTGTTCTAATATTGACAAGTGATTGTCCAAAATTCTTATGGAGATAAAAGACAACCTCAGCAAATATCTATACTACGCTGACAGACCGGAAGTCGACCGGGAGGTCCAGGCACCGTCCTTGCAGAGTGCCACTCCTCCAGGCGCCGTGCCAGAGGGAAGAACGTATCCTTCGTGGCACTCCACTCGCAGTCCGTCGTCGTCAGTGCGTGCAAAGGTAGCCTGTGCGTCCGGGAATGAAGGCTCAGGGCACTCTCTCGCCTCGCAGTTCTTGCCCTTGTACCCAGGGCTACACTGGCACTGGCTCGGAGCTATGCAAGTGCCTCCATTTTGGCACCCATTTATGCAGTTAGCTGAGTGACAGAAGGAGACCTGAATGATGGGTTTCTTGACCTGATTTTTTATTTAACTTTTTCATTTAGGCATATATATACATATATATATATATACATACATATATATATATATATATATATATATATATATATATATATATATATATATATATATATATATATATTCTTGTATTTCATATACTCTGTCTCTTTTAAGGTCTATTTCTTGCGATTTTTATTTGACTTTCTCATTTAGGCGTAAAATATCTCAGAGCAGTTGAAGACCCCGCAGACATGGAGCTATGACCCGCTATTGTCTGTCTATGACCTGACTAGCATCACTTTAATTCGCACGCTTCTTGCTATAGTTATTGTTGCTGATATACTTGTTATCCTGTTTATGTTGACTGATTAATTGGTATTTGACCTGCCCTCTGATGACATCTCAAAGAATTGTGTTTACTTTTTCATGTAAGGTACCATACAATATATATATATATATATATATATATATATATATATATATATATATATACATATATCTATATATTTTTCCGAGTAGGACCTCATATGAAACTCGAAACATATGAGCCTACAAATCCGCCGCGAGGCCCTCTATCTCCGAGTTTTGAATATCTAGCCCCAGATATGTTGCATAAGGACTATTTCGTAATCGTTAAAACAATTATAATTAAATAGAATATCATTATCATATTGACAGTGTCCGTCATCATTATTTGTAATAATCTTGGGAGAGTATTACCATAAAAGTCATAATCATGTTCATATGAAACTTTTACTGTAAAGTATAATATCATTTTTATATCCCAGTCATGATTACTATCACTGCAGTTAATTTTGCTCTTAATGTTGATGATATTGCTCTTAGAATCGCTCCGATCACCGATATTATCACTAATAATTGAATATAATTGTAGTGACAAATGGTTGTCCTAAATTCTTAATGAAGATAACAAGAAGACAGAAGCTGGGAAATATCTGTTACTTACGCTGACACCTGAAGTCGTCCGGGAGGTCCCAGGCACCGTCCTTGCAGAGTGCCACTCCTCCAGGCGCCGTGCCAGGGGGAAGAACGTATCCTTCGTGGCACTCCACTCGCAGTCCGTCGTCGTCAGTGCGTGCAAAGGTAGCCTGTGCGTCCGGGAATGAAGGCTCAGGGCACTCTCTCTCCTCGCAGTTCTTGCCCTTGTACCCAGGGCTACACTGGCACTGGCTTGGAGCTATGCAAGTGCCTCCATTCTGGCACCCATTTATGCAGTTAGCTGAGGAACAGAATAAGACTTTATTATGATTTCTTTCCTTTTTTTATTCAATTATAGTTTTTCTTTTACAGATGTTTCCATTTTCTGAGTTGATGTTTCTTTGAGGCGACAGCTAGAGCCGGGAACCAATTCTCATTTTTTGTCAAAACTAACTCCTCATATTATTAATGTTATCAACAAATGGTTTGCACCTGATAACCCTGACATTCGCCCCTAAAGCGGTGCTGCCAAATAAATATTTTCAGTTTAGAAAAAAGAGCGGGAGACCAAGATGACAACGATGAGGCCTCCGTCTACCCAGGCTGGTCCGCGGCTCCTCTCTTGGGAAACCTGCAACCTCTATTATTCTGTCTCTGTTTCTGTATCCCACAGTCTTTCATTACCTTATTCCCTCAATCTCATTTATTAATTTTTCTGTTCTCTTTTTTTCTCGATTATCTTTTCTCTTCCTCTCTTCATGTCTCTCTTACATTCCTTTCTCTATTATTGTCTGTTTCTTCCTTACTGTCATTCATTTATTCATTAATCCTCCTGTTCACTGTTGGATTCCCCTCTAAACACGTAATGTCGTACTTCACCCTTTTGCGCTACATATATTACGTCCGCTAAACATATATATATATATATATATATATATATATATATATATATATATATATATATATATATATATAATATCTTTGACGAAATATCAATATCATGGAGACTTACGCTGACACCTGAAATCGACCGGGAGGTCCCAAGCACCGTCCTTGCAGGATGCCACTCCTCCAGACGTCGTGCCCGGGGGAAGAACGTATCCTTCGTGGCACTCCACTCGCAGTCCGTCGTCGTCAGTGCGTGCAAAGGTAGCCTGTGCGTCCGGGAATGAAGGCTCAGGGCACTCTCTCGTCTCGCAGTTCTTGCCCTTGTACCCAGAGCGGTAAGCCTTCATGACATCAGCAGAGGCTCTCCATCTTAGGCCCGCACATTGCTCCTTGTTTTTGCAATTTCTACAACTTTCTTTCCCTGATTCTCTTTCAACAACTCTCTCTCTCTCTCTGTCTTTATCTCCCAGTCTTTAATTCGCCCATTCCGTCTCTTTCATTTATGAATTCTCCTATTATTTCTTTCTCTCCCCCTCTCCATATCTCTCTATACGCCCCCTTCCTTCGTTTTCTTTCGCTCTCTTTGTCCATTTCTTTCTTTCTTTCTCTCACTTCTAGTCATTCATCCTCCTTCGTTCTGTCTAGCTGGCGTGAACTAGATTACCTGCTACACTCCTCTCTAGACCTGCTCTTTTGCAACTCACCCTTTTTTGCGTCCTTAAGATAAATTTCGTCTAAAAAATTGAGCTCTGCTGAGATATTAGTCAATTCATTGTCAGAATAAGAGCAGCATCAGCTCAAGGCTTTCCGCATTTTCTGGAATTCCAGTTTGGTCTTGCGCTCAGGCGGACTTCACGCGCGATGTGAGGGTCATAGTTATGGATACTATTCTTGATATTATAATCATGATTATATTGTAACTGGAAATAATATAATTTTCAGCAATATTATCATTATTATCATGGTCTTGATAATCAATTTTTTTGATAATCATCATTTTGTCGCTGTTATTGCTACAGTTAATGAAGCTAGAAAAATTCTGAAAGAGGCTGGAACTTACGCTGACACCTGAAATCGACCGGGAGGTCCCAGGCACCATCCTTGCAGGATGCCACTCCTCCAGACGTCGTGCCCGGGGGAAGAACGTATCCTTCGTGGCACTCCACTCGCAGTCCGTCGTCGTCAGTGCGTGCAAAGGTAGCCTGTGCGTCCGGGAATGAAGGCTCAGGGCACTCTCTCGTCTCGCAGTTCTTGCCCTTGTACCCAGGGCTACACTGGCACTGGCTCGGAGCTATGCAAGTGCCACCGTTCTGGCACCCATCTATGCAAGTAGCTGAAGGACAATGATATTTGCGCTTTGGTTCTCTTTCTCTGATTTTTATAATTTCCCTAACAGATGTTTTAATATTTAATATTATATTGATATATTTTGGAAGCGACAGCCAGAGACAATTCTCTTTCTTTTTTGTTAAAATTGTTCTTTTACGTATATGACAAATTTCAACAAACCCTTTAAACCTTTATAAGTAGTTCTGACAACATCCACCCGGGAAAAAAGCGCAAAGCCTTGATGTCGTCAGCAGAGGTACTCTCCCAGGCCCGTCTCTGGATCCTCTGTTTAACAAGTTTCCAAACATTCTTTTCCTAAGTATCTACACTCCATCTCTTCTTTCATTCATTATCTCTCTTTTGCGTTTTTCTCTACCATTCACTCATTCCTTCTATATTCACTCACTCGCTTCCTCTTCGTCTTCCTTTTCTCTCCTTCTCTCCTTTCTCTCTTTTCGTCCATTTCTTTCTTTTTCTCATTCCCCTTTTCATGCATCCTCCTTCTTTCCGTCTTTACGTGCGTCTAGGCACACCTCGATCTGTCATCGTCGTAATTTTGATTTCGTATTAGATGATAAGCATCGGACCTAGCAGAAGCGTCGGCTAAACACTTGATGTGACACCATTGTGTTTTCCTGCGCTTGGATCTCATGGGCGATTTCCATCAAGAGTACTCATTGTATATATGGCTATTATCATTGTAAATAGTATTCCTAATATTATCATGCTCACGATTAGCCTTATCATCACTATCGTTGTCATCAGTTAGGTGAAGGACCCGTCCAGCAGACACGTAGACTTTTCCTAAAGGATTCTAGTGAGATTTTCTAGAGTATTCTAGTTTATGGTATGGAATATTTTGCTAGCATCAATAGAAACGAGGATTTTTTTGTGTTATTTATGACCGTTATAACAGCATCGAGTAACTTTTATTTATCTAGCCATTTCTGGCATCCCATGGGTGTGTAATTTACTGCCGCTTCTTTGTGACCCTTGTTAATCTCTGGAATGCAATGCAATAAGTTTCTTTAATACCTCCGTTCATGATGAAGCTCTCAGAATCTGTACAGGGGCTTTCAGGCCTTCACCTGTGGAGTCGGAACTACTCCACAGATGAACTACATGAACCTTATTTGCTACACAAGACTACAAAAGATTCCGGGATCTCCTTCATCCAGATTGGTTTTCAACCCCCTGAGGATAGCCAATCCTATGGTAGGAGAATGAGGAATCTTGTGGAAGATCTTAATTTAAATCTCACAAAGGTTCTGGCTGTTGGAAATCCCCAGTTCCCCCTTGGACCAACCAAGTCTAGCTGGATTTAGTTGTAATAGGGAAGGGGGAGAGATCCGAGTCAGAAGTCTTCAACACACTTCTAAGTACTAAGGATGCGATGCAATATATACAGATGATTCGAAATCTGAATATGGTGTGGGTTTTTCAGCAGTGAGCAGGAGGAAGATTGCAGATGGCAGTCTTTCTTCGGCAGCCTCGGTCTTCACTACATGTCATCCTTGCAGCAGTTAAGATGACTAGAGATCTTTCGAACTATTCTATTGTAATATATTGCGACTCTCGTAGTGCTTTGCAAGCTAACTCTTTACATCCACTGGTGAGGGAGGTTCAAAACTGATGTCAGCATGTTCTGGTGCCAGAACATGCTGGCATCAATGGGAATGAGCGAGCTGATCATAGGGTCAAGGCAGCTGCCGCTCAGCCCTGTGGTGCTCGCTTTCCTCTCCCACACACCGACTTAAAACCTAGTATCAGACTTCTTCGCGATAAATGGAGGGGGCAATGGAGGCATACCTCTAGAAATAAATTGCGAGATATTAGAGTTGACCTTGGCAGTTGGGTGACCAGCATCCATCCCAACCAACAAGTAGAAATTGTGTTAACAACACTAAGAACCGGGCACGCAAGCCTGACTCATGGGCCGATGATGGCTAAGAGTGAAGCGCTTTGTGAGGGATGCAAGAGCCATTAACTATCGCACATGTAGTGGACAGATGTGCAACATTCTCAGACCATACACAATGAAAAATGTATTTGGGGAGGATTGTGACATTAATAGTTTCCTAAGAAAGACAATTTTTTTCAATAAAATTTAGATATGTACACTATATATGCAATAATTTAAGACATTTAGAACATAATATTTATGCTTTGATTTTTAACATGATATCTATTGTTATATATATTTATTAACAAGACAATTATTGATAGATTTTTACGGTTTTAAATATTTGAAAAATTCAATCCAACAATGTATTCGTCGCTAATGACCTTAGCTGTTGACGCGGCAGATAATTTTAAATAATCAATCAATCAAATGCGCAGTTGTTCAGCATCACTAATACATAATTAAAAATGTTTGTTGCATGAGAAGAAAAAAAATCTATAGCCACTGAAACGACTAAACACTCCTATGCATTTTTGGCAACGTGCTCTAACACTTGTAACAATAGAAAAGTATGTCTGCTTCCGCGCCCATCCCTCCCACATTCAACAGACATGCGTGTTTCACTTCTCACTGTAACATTTTTCTGGCTCTCCTGGCTGAGGACAGAGAAACCCTATTAATAGTTACGGCTCATAACGGGAAGTGACTGGAATGGTGATGTTCATCTTTTAAAGACTGTGTTTGTTTGTTGCCTTCTACAGCATTCTTTCCCTGACTCCTTTTCATTCATGTACTCCTTTACAGAAAATTCTTTAAAATTCTTACTTCGTTTCTCTTTCATTCAATCACATTCTCGGTTTGCCCTTCTGTATCTCTCAAGTCATTCATTCCCTCATTCCACACTCATTTGTTCATTCTTCTATTCTCTCTTTTTCTTTCTTATATTTTCTCTCCATTTCCCCCTTTCTCAGTATACCCACCACTCATTCCTTCCCTTTCTCTCTCATTGTCCATTTCTTCTTTTCTCATTCATTTATTTATTCAAGATTCTTCTTTCCGCTATTTCTGAATTTCCTAACTCATTCTAATAGGATTCCACTCTAATCCTGCATTGTTACATCTCTGTCGTCGTCAGCAAAATAGATTTCGCCCAAAGAAAATGAAATGTCATTCGATTCGGCGTTACACACAGGAGCAGCCTCGGCCCATCTCCTGGCCCCGCCATCAAGGCTTCCTGCTCTTTTCTGGAATTCCATTTGGGTTCTGCGGCCAGGTGGACTCCACGGGCGATTCCCGCCAAAACTACTTGAAACGTGGCTGTTCCATTATAAGTATTATTCTTGATATTTTCATGATGTCCATCACAATTACCGTGATCAATATTATCATCGTCATCATCATCTTTACTATTATTGTCATTATCATTTTGGGATTGTTGCTTGTGGTAATAAAGAAGAAACATTCTGAAAGAGGAAAATATCTTGGAGACTTACGCTGACACCTGAAGTCGTCCGGGAGGTCCCAGGCACCGTCCCTGCAGAGTGTCACTCCTCCAAGTACCGTGCCTGGGGGAAGAACGTATCCTTCGTGGCACTCCACATGCAGTTCGTCGTCAATGCGGGTAAAACTAGCCTGTGCGTCCGGGAACGAAGGCTCAGGGCACTCTTTCACCTCGCAGTACTTGCCCTTGTAGCCAAGGTTACACTGGCACTGGCTTGGGGCTATGCAAGTGCCCCCATTCTGGCACCCCTTTTTGCAGTTAGCTGCAAGGCAGATATGTCTCGTTTTACAAAGAGTCTTGTGCAGAATCCTGCACAATATACGTATAACTGACAAAGATTGGGATATAAATAGACACAGAATAAAAACGCACTTACGGACACAGCTGGGAGCGGACTGACGCCAAGGTTGGCCGTCGTGCATAAATTGCCCCGTCTCCTGGTTGCACGTGAGGTAAATCTTCCTTTTGCCTTGAAGCTTATATCCGGAATTGCATTTGAGTCTACAACCACTGCAGAGAGACATAGGAAAATAGATGATGCAGCAGACATTTTTTTTATTTCCATAACCACCATGATTTTGGTCTATTACTTCAGGATCATTGTCATTATTGGCATTACCACTATCCTTATTAGCATTATTACTGTAATTTTTGTTGCTATTAGTTTATCATTTTTAATACTCAACATTTGTTTTAGCAATATGATCGTTACCTTTCATTATCACTATCACTGTTATAATCATTGTTGGTTTCATCATTATCATCATCATTGTTATCACTGAAATTTGTAGAAAAACCCACAGTGCAGAAACCATTTGCATTGTCATTAACAGAAAACAGGTATGCAGATTATCAGAGTATCGGTAATCTTCAACAAGACGATTTGAATGTCATTGTAGTTTCAGTGTCCTATTCTATGGGAGGCAAGATGAAGTACTGAATATTTTTCTCTTGGGACCGATAAAAAAGTAGAAGGATATATAAATAAAAACGATAGTTATTGATCTTTTAAACACTCATATAACATATTGCTTAACATAACGTTATACCTTGACAGTTTTAAATCCTCAGCGTGCCCAGTTTTTACAAAAATCCAAAATTCCCGCTTTAGAGAATACCATAAACAATATTTTACCCAATCACATAAGAATTTTTTAAAATTACATAAAAAAATGAAAATAAAATATATAGATATATATTAAACGACACTCACGTGAACATACACTCGATGCGTCCGTTGATCACCTCGCCTGCCTGGTCTGCGGCACACTCTGGGGAGGCAGAGGCAGTCCATACTAACTAAATCAAGCGTAAATCTTTTTATATATAAAAATGGAGGGTGTGTTTTTGAGAGACACAAATCCTATTGTTATCCATGACTTTGAGAGAGATAGATAAATTAATGGAGACAGAGATAGAGAGATAGAGAGAGGGAGAGAGAGAGAGAGAGAGAGAGAGAGAGAGAGAGGGAGGGAGGGAGAGAGAGAGAGAGAGAGAGAGAGAGAGAGAGAGAGAGAGAGAGAGAGAGAGAGAGAGGTGAGAGAGAGATGTAGATAGATAGATAGATAGATAGATATGTAGATAGATAGATAGATAGGTAGATAGAAAGATAGAGAGAGAGAGAGGTGAGTGAGTGAGGAAGATAAAGAGAGAGAAAGAAAGAGAGAGGGAGGGAGGGAGAGAGGGGTGAGAGAGGGAGAGATAGATAATTAGATAGATAGAGAGAGAGAGAGGTGAGTGAGTGAGGAAGATAAAGAGAGAGAAAGAAAGAGAGAGGGAGGGAGGGAGGGAGGGAGAGAGGGGTGAGAGAGGGAGAGATAGATAATTAGATAGATAGAGAGAGAGAGAGTGAGAAAGAGAGAGATGGGTAGATAGATAGATAGATGAGAGAGAGAGGGTAAGAGACTGTATGTGCCTCTAAACAATGGTTATGACTGGTTGGGCAGTAATAGTTTTTACACGGCTTGACTATTTCTGGAGAAGAGTACAACACAGTTAATGAATACGATGCTCTTGGAGTAAGCGCTGAGCGCAGTGTCGCGTGTCCGGCCGGAGGCTGGTGGAGACCTGGGCACGGTGACTTCTGCAGGGCGAACTGAAAGCTCAGACGAGGTCTGATGTATTCATCATCTGGGCCCCGTTGAGGTGATGGTTTCAAATTGATACAAAGCCACGTGTTTGGATCCCATGCGGTATTCTGGTTTGATGACTTGCACAAATCTTGCTTATATGCGTGCCATATTGCTCGGCCACCTACTGACGCCTTGCCCTCGAGGCGCCTTGGACTGGCCTCAAGGGGTGACCCAACTTTGGCTGGTTATCTCGTTCTCGTGTGCGCTGTCCTCGATTCATCCTCGTGGTTGCTCGTCCTTGTCGTCCTCTTCTACATCCTGGTCCTTGGTGAATCAATCCGTCCTTGACATCCACATGTCCAGGAAGGTCTCGCACAGGTCCTCCTCAGTGACGACGACAAGCAGATGTGGTCCCACGCCCTAAACAAGCCAGAGGAGAAATGACCCAAAGAAGTCAGTCTGAGTCCGTCCCTTGACCCGTTCGTAGACTTAGTCTATGCTCCATGTGAACTTCAACTGTTACGGTCAAGGTATCTCGAGTATACTGTCTTTATACATACAACAGCCCAACCGCTATATTCTACAAAAAATACCCATGCCATGAGTATATTCAAATAAATTATAAATTATAGTTATAATAGTGCGAGCGATCATGTTTGAAAGCGGAACCACATCATGCAACAAAGTGGTCATGAATATAATTTAACCTTTTCTTCATAATAACATTTATTTCTTCGCTTATTATGATTACAAATAAAACGTACACTTTATTTATTTTTATGATTATTTGCGCGTGGAAAAAGTGTTTGAATATCCGGCTACCGCTATAAGCTAGCCGGATAAGCTCTTTTGATTCATAAATTGTAAGATTACGCTTAGGCTTTGCTACCACTCAAGTGCTTGTTCCAATAGTTCCATTATCAGCTGTGCTGTTTTTCTAACGTGTTGTACTCTTCAACCAGTAAAGAATCATGCCGGACTTAGCAAACTATCATTGCCCTTCCAGTTCAGTAGGACGAGGCTCTATAAGATCTAATTAGAACTTTTTACAGAGAGAGAGAGAGATAATAGAAGAGGATATATAGGGACAGAAAGGAGAGACTGACAGATTATTAAAATAAATAGCTGCTTGTGACAGAAATATGAAGGTAGGTGCGACAAAAAAATCTTAAAGGGCGCCGCCGTCAACATGGGAGACAGTTCACTCTCAGACTTCTTAAATGCTTGTGAAAATGATTCTTCGCGGAGACCGAATGCAAAATAAACATTATTGACAGGGATTCCACAAGGCTAATATCCTCGTCTGACCTCTAGACGATGGTGGTTTACGAAGGTTGATGTTACTGAGTAGCCGCCATGACAACATATTATGGAGTTTGTCAGAAGTTACTCATTCTAGAAACTATCACTTATCATCTGACCTGCAATTTGCCAAAAGTTGGGACCAACAAAGAAAAAAACTTTCATTATGTATTGATTATACATATATCACTCAAAATCTGGAACAGTCTTTGCAGTAATCTGCTGTCGTAAAGCTAAGAAAAGATGTCCAAAAGTCTCTATTTACCACCACTAGGAAATAAAAGGATGGAGAGAAAGGCGAGATTCCTATAACAAACAAATGAAATATAGCCTGGAGCCAGACCAGTGAAAGAATCCTCACGAAGAATGAGGAAAACACTCTACCGTGTTGATACTGTTGAAAGTGAGACGACAGTTTCGGAATCCACCTGGATTCCATCCTCACGAAGGAATGATACGCGGAACAAGTAAACAGAACCCAAAGCGAGCTGCTGGAGAGTTGTTACAAATGAACATATTTATCTATGATATTCTTTTATGCCGTTCAGCCTTTGGCTGTCGAAACGCCATCTTTGACATGTCCACGACTGTCCTTTATTGATTATATTCATGCGTTTCTTCTTACGCCCTCCTTGCACTGCACCCTTTCGGAATTGCCTTTGCTCTCGCTGAAGAACTGGGACGTGAAGCAGCATGTCGCTTTCCCTTTCCTGGTGTTAGTGAGTTATCATGTGCTCTAGCTAAGTGTTAAGGGGTGGGCGAGACGAAACACTGATGTAAGGCTGGTGTGCTTTTAATTTAAGACAGTTTTATTATACACATAGGGCGGTATTCACGAAAGATCTAAGATTGTTCTTAGTTTCTAAGGTCTAATACTGAGAACATAAACTCACAGAAGAGTTGGACGCTACAGAAAGGTCCTATATATCCCATGCACAGCTCCTTAGCAGCTTTTATCAGTCTAGTAAAAATACTTACCCTTGTAATACGAAGCTACAGTCGGCCTCCAGATCCCACTGTAAAGAAAAGTAAAATATTCTGAAGCACAACTTTGATTTTCCATTTTATATTTTTCCACATTCGATATTCAATATTATTTATAGCGATTCTGAAAGGATAGATTAGCCTGTCGATTGCTAGTGACCATCGATCACACTGATAATATGATTATTATGATCAATGTCACTGTAATTATTACTCTTATTACTATCATCATCATCATACTTATTATTACTATTACTATCATTATCATTCTAATTATTATTGTTGCCGATGTTATTGTTATTACCAATACAGATATTGTGATCATTCTTATTATTATAACTGTCATTCTTATCATCACTATCGACATCATCACTATCGACATCGTCATGATCATCGCCACAGGTATGGTCATGGTCATGGTCATCATTATCATCATCATCATCATCATTATCATTATTACTATCATCAAGATTACTGTTTTCACTATTATCATGATTACTATCATTATTAACAAGAAGTGATAATGGTACATTTTATGAAGGAGCATACTTATATCAATAATGGTATTATGTGCGGTAGCATACACTTTGAAACAATCCTCCTGGAGCCGTCTCGTCGAGGGAAGCGACAAAATGGATTCCATGGGCACCGAGGCCAGCGAGAAGGGATGCCCCCCCCCCCCCCCCCCCGTCATGCCATCTTGCTCTCGAGAGAAATCTTCTTGCGTACAGGATTACAGGGGTTGAAATATATTGCAAGCTGTGCAGCATGATGTCTCAGCACTTGTGGAGCCTTTTATATGAAACGGTTGATAAATTGGAATCACAGTGGACACGGGTGGCATCCTCATGCCATCCCAGCAAGTGGGTATAGTACACACTATCAATTAATGTATTCCATTTGCGAGATAACGACATCAGGCACTGTAACTCACCACACTATATAGATCAGGGTGAAAAAAATCACAGCAGCCATGATGCTGCTTGGGTCAGAACGAGGGAGGGACGAGTGCACTGTCCGGTCAAGGGAGATGAACTGAGAGAGGAGAGGAGAGGGAGATAGAGAGCGAGATAACGGCAACATCCGGGAAACTCGGGTGTGTATATGTTTATGTGTTTGTGTTTTTTAACTGTATGTCTTGAATAAACTTTCTTTCCTTTTATTATTTATCTGTTCTCTCTTTTCCTTATTTGTGAAGAGACACAAAAACACGAAGAGAAAGAAAGAGGATAAACATAACTGCAATTATGAATATATAAAGGTTAATATGAGGGTTATTGACATGGTCAGCTGAAGAAATCAGTGATTGTTTGTAGTAAAGAATGTTTGCTAAACCTGTACGCTTATATATTCCACATATATTAGTATTTCAGATGATATACCACATGGAGTTCTCTCCTATATGAACACATAAGTTACAGATAATTTACATTAGGCACTGATACTGAAATTATATATACTAAGGGGACCTGTGGAAATATTTGGAAAAAAATCGAGAAGTACTTCCTCCCTTCTCTCTCCCTCTTTCACCCTCCTCCTGCCTCTGGCCTCCTCTCGCCCCTTTCCTCTCCATCTCTCTCTACGTTTCTCTTTCCCATTTCCCTCCGCTCCCTCCCCTACTTCCTTGCTCTCTTACCCCCTCCCTCCCCCATCACCCTTTTCTCTCTGAGCCCCCCTCTCCCTTCCCCCCTCACCCTTTTCTCTCTGAGCCCCCTCTCCCTCCCCCTCCCTTTCCCTTTACTTGCCCCCCCTGTCCCCTCCGTTTCTTCTCTCTTCCCCTTCTCCATCTCCCTTTAATGGTACTGGTAATGATAATGATATATTTAGGGTAGGATTCTAGTAGATTTATCATATGATGCCTTTAATACCGATCTATAACCACTGGCGTGTATATGTATGTGTGTGTGTGTGTGTGTGTGTGTGTGTGTGTGTGTGTGTGTGTGTGTGTGTGTGTGTGTGTGCATATGTATGAAGATGTATTTGATAAATCCCTTCAGTGAGAATAAAGAGAAAAACGCGAGTCGAGATTTAAAGGAGAGTCTGCTACAGGATTTCAGATACTCTCGAGATCTTACGACAACGCGATAACGAAGCTTATGAAACAGAGTAAATAACTGAACATGAATTTACGTACAAAACATTCAAATAAACGCTCAGGGATTTTACGTAATTTGCCGTGCTTAATCGCCAAGGGAAGGTTTGTCCAATATTTCCCTTCTTCTTTGTTGAAAGATAAGCGGACTTGCATTTTTTCTTAAAGATGGGGGGAGGGAAGGGGGTAGAGAGCAGTTGTGTACGTGGGTGAGATGTGCAATAACTCCTCAGACGGGATTTCCTCTCTCTCTCTCTCTCTCTCTCTCTCTCTCTCTCTCTCTCTCTCTCACTCACTCACTCACTCTCTCTCTCTCTCTCTCTCTCTCTCTCTCTCTTTCTCTCTCTCTCTCTCTCTTACTCTCTCTCTCTCTCACACACAGACACACACACACAGATTCACTCATAATTGCGTGTTCACGCAAAAGGTCAAAATAGGCCTTTCTCACACACACATACACGTTTATTCGATACATTTATACGCACGTAGATACAGACAAATACGTACATATACACTTACACATACACACACACAAGCGCACACTCTCACGAGCACATACAGATACGCAGACGTACGCATGGGTAGGCTTACATATACATATACGCACAAGTACAAACCAAGCAAAAATGGTGTACCAGCTCTGGCACCAGACATCCTCTAGCATTGTGGCGGCTTATGCGACAAGCCCACTGAGGTGCATTTGCGTGTGCATCAGTGCGTGTCATGATCATTACGATAGTTTTCGGTCATATTATAGTTGCTTTAATCACTAATGCTAATTGTTCTTTATCACAATTCATGACCATTGTTACTGTTGTCAGTTTTGTTCTCACTGCAATAAACACTTGCCATCTTTACCGTTACTGTAATTCTATTGTCATTACGAGTAGTACAGCTAAGCCATCTTTATTTTATTCTCATTTCTACTGTTTGTTTACATTTATATGCGTGTATACGTGTGTATCTATATCTATCTATCTATTTATATGTATATATATACATATATATATATATATATATATATATATATATATATATATATATATTACATATGTAATATATATATATATATATATATATATATATATATATAAATATATATATTACATATGTAATACATATATATATATATATATATATATATATATATATATATATGTGTGTGTGTGTGTGTGTGTGTGTGTGTGTGTGAGTGTGTGTGTGTATACATATATATATATATATATATATATATATATATATATATATATATATGTATATATATATATATATATATATATATATGTATATATATATATATATATATATATATATATATATATATATATAAACATATATATATATATAACAGCGAGGTGGCAACACTTCTTTACATGGAGTGGATGATACAAGAAGTGTATGTACATACCATTGTGGATAGGTTTCCTGTATATGGAGAAAGAAAAGTGGTCAGCAGAGCGATGGACTAGGGTGTCCAAAAAAAGGAGTCAATCTCCCATTCCACCTTGAAATGGATGGAAGGAGAGAAAAAGTTCAGCTGCGTCAGAAAACACGAGAACGGCATACTTCAGCCAAACCGACGGACGAAGCGAAATGGACGAACGAACAAGACGAACAAGCTGGAGGGAGACGTCGGAGGGAAAAGGGAGCTTCCTCTGAAAGAGAGCGAGGACGTCATCAAGCGGAACCTTGGCGAACAGGGAGTCGACATCGCTTGTTGTTGTGGTTGCAGAAGCAGAAGAGACGTGATTTGTTATTGCTCATATGAACTGTCTCTGATTCACTTATATTTTATGGTATGGCTTTCGACTAATAAACGTAATCAGGTTTATATGGTTTATTTGGACACAGAGTATACAAATTCAGTGAGTTTTGTGCTTTGTGTCTTCTGCCTAGAGGAAGCCTGCAATATGTTTTTGTTTTTGTTGTTTTGTGATATAAAGATGAAAAGATAAACTACAAAGTTGCAGAAACTTTGATGTTCATTTAGAGCATCAATCGACCACACTAATGAAGATGCCTTTGCCTAGAGTGGCAGAGATACAAGGCCCTGAAGATATAAATGGTTGACAAGCATGAGTAACAGTGGTGATATGATCAAACGCTATTGAATAACAAAGATAAGAATAAAAGTTTGCAATCGGCTTCAGTAACCATGGCGTGCTGAGAGACCAGGAGCCGCTCGACTTGCCTCCTGACGGCGATGGCGCAACTCGGCCGTTACATTGTCCATCGAGCAAACATTGCGGTTTGCCAGTTATTTCACTCGCTGATGACTGGGTAATATTATGATATGCTCATAAATCGTAATGCTATGTGATTCTAACGTTTGTGTACTTTAATTAAGACAATTCTGCTCTCTCTCTCTCTCTCTCTCTCTCTCTCTCTCTCTCTCTCACACACACACACACACACACACATATACACACATGTGTGTCCACCAGTCCACCAGTTCACCAGGCTGATTATGCCTGGTGGACATCCAAAGAAAAAGATACCATAGAAACACACACCCACACCCACACACACGCACACACACGCACGCACACACACAATGATTTATATATACATATATATATATGTGTGTGTATGTGTGTGTGTGTGTGCAGTGTATATATATGTGTACACACACACACACACACACACATATATATATATATATGTATATATAAATCATTCTACCGTGGGGGAAGGAGAGTTGGTTGGTCTCTAGCGTTGATTTGTTGAGGCTCTACTGGCTCGACGACGGCTGCGCCCTATGGTTTCCCCCTCCAATCGTTGGTCGATTGTCTTTTCTGCTTGTGCAACATGGTGTGTCCATTCTTTGCGATCCTTTGTGATCCGCTCCCATGCTAGAAGAAAGCTTTAGTTACCCATTCGGATGACGTGACCGGTCCATCTGAGCTGGCACTGGGTATGGATGGCTTCAACACTAGACATGTCTGCAAGGGCTCTCACCTCGGAATTTGAGATCCTTTCTCTCCAGCTGATTTTAAGGAGTTGTCGGAGGTGTGACATCTGTATTCTCTGTAATCTCTTGATATGGCGTCTGTATAGCGTATATGTTTCCGCTGAGTAGGGCAGGCAGGAGAGTAGCACTGCACGGTTCACTTTACATTTTCTTTGGGGACGTATGCCTTTACGCTTCCCTACTTGCGTTTGCAGTTTACCAAAGGCTGTTGAAGCTACATTGATTCCCCTTTTAATTTTCTTATCCAGAATGTTGTCTCTGGAGAGGGTGCTGCCAAGGTAAGTGAAGTGCTTCCCGTACAAGAGCAAGCTTCCATTGAAGATGTTGGGTTGTGATGGTTGATTGTCAGTCCAAGGCTTCTGCCCGCAGTTGAAAACATCCAACATGTTCTGTAGCTTAGCTCATGAGTGGGATACCAATGCTGCATCATCAGCATATAGTAGCTCTCTGGCACACAGTGTCCTGGTCTTTGTACTTGCTTTTAGGCACCTGATGTTGAAGGCGCCTGATGTTTTCATTTGAGCGGGTTGTTATATATTTGCTTTCGGTGGTGTGAGACAGTCAAGGACTACTGCGATGTAAAGCGAGAAGAGGGAGCTAGCACATAGCCTTGTTTGACACTTGGTTACCGCTGTAGTTTTCTGATGAGGTGCCTCCATACTTGACTTGGGCCATCATGCTAGTGTGAAGTTGTTCAATAAGGCTGATTATGCATTGTGGACATCCAATGAAGAAGAGACCATAGACACTGTCGGCTAACGGTGTCGAAGGCACCAGTAAGTCAATGAAATCAATTAGTATCGGCAAGTTGTGTTCAAGGGCTTTCTCTTGAAGTTGCCTGATGGTGAAAATCATGCCGAGTGTTGATCTTGCACTGAAGTGGCCTGATGGTGAAAATCATGCCGAGTGTTGATCTTGCACTGAGGCTCGTGAAAGACAGAGTCGAGGATGGGTTGTATGCGTTGGAGTATGACTTTCCCAAGCACCTTGCCAGCTTCTGATAGGAGAGAAATGCCTTTATAATTCACAGGCAGGACACCAAAAAGCGCGCTGGCAGTGGTTTGTCCTCCATGTTTAAACACCTGCAGGAATTCCATCGATGTTTGGTGCTTTGTTGGATGTTAGTCTCTTTACTGCTGCCTGAACGTCTTCTATTCTGAGAGGGTCATCCGCACTTTCTCTGTCTTTCGTTGGCGGAGTCTTTCCAGAGCTTGGATCTGAGTGGCGTCATCCGATGCGAGAACAGCGTTTAACTGTACACTTTGTGGTCCGTAGATAATCTTCAGAGCTACACATGCATATATATGTGTGTGTGTGTGTGTGTGTGTGTGTGTATACATACATACACACACACACACACACACACACACACACACACACACACACACACACACACACACACACACACACACACACACACACACACACACACATATATATATATATATATATATATATATATATATATACATATACATATACATATAAAATGTAAACGTGTATATATAATATACATATATATATATATATATATATATATATATATATATATATATATATAATATACATAGTATATATACATACACACACGCACATATATATGATATTCATGTAAATATATATATATATATATATATATATATATATATATATATATATGTGTGTGTGTGTGTGTGTGTGTGTGTGTGTGTGTGTGTGTGTGTGTGTATGTGTGTGTGTGTGTGTGTGTGTGTGTGTGTGTGTGTGTGTGTGTTTGCGTGTGTGTATGTGTTTGTGTGTGTGTTTATAAAATAATACATATAATACACACATATAAGTACACACACACACACACACACTCACACACAGACACACACACACACACACACACACACACACACACACACACACACACACACACACACACATATATATGTGCGTGTGTGTATATATATGTATGTCTATATCTATATACATATGTATATGTATATGTATATATATACATATATACATGTATATATATACACATATACATATGTATATACACAAATATATATACATATACATATATATGTGTGTATATATATACATGTATATATGTATATATATACATATACATATACATATGTATATAGATATAGACATACATACATATATATATATATATATATATATATATATATATATAAATATATATATATATATATATATATATATATATATATATATATATATATATATATATATATATATATATATATATATATGTATATATATATATGTATATGTATATATATGTATATGTATGTATGTATGTATGTGTGCATATATACATGCACATCAGATAAATGTATTAACTACAAAAAACATATCGAGCAACATCTTTGTCTCCCAGCAACTGGAAGCCATTGCATTCGCCTCCGGTCCTTGCGCGGCCCCTCGCACGAGGCAGACGCCCTGGTCCCCGCCGGCCCGCCCTCGCCTCTCCTCACACGGCTGGCGAGGGAAAAGCAAATTTGGTGACAGATCTGTGGCTAGGTGGTGTTAATGTTAATAATCATGAGTGAATTATCCTTGCAAAGCAATGATTAGTGAAAAGGATTTGAATTAACGCTGCAGAATAATTCCTCTTTAGGCTCATCTTCTAGCTACCTGCCTGGTTGTCTATCTGTCTGCCTGCCTTTCTGTCTGTCTGCCTGCCTGCCTACTTGTCTACCTGCTTGCCTCTCTATCTGTTTCATCGCTAGATACATGTTGTGTCTCAAAGTGTCGCTTTGAGACATTGCATGCATCTAGCGAGGAGTGCAGACTTTCCATATGGGAGAGCCAAGAATGCAGTGTTTAGATTACCTAGATCACATACCTTGATACACTATATCTTACAGTGTCCTATGCTTCAGACATATAGAAATACAGAGATAATAGGAGATAAAGGCCGAATGAATGATTAAGAATAGCCAGGTATTTGGGATTTTGAAGAGGTACAGGCATTTTGCGCCAATATTATAATTCCTAGCTGGCGAATATGCACCGATACATAGGCTGTTACTCCTGTTGAGGCTATAAGGGATTGAGCAGGCGTCCACTAAGTCGAAGATGGCCATCGTATGTTATGCATTATTCTTCTGAGACACAAGTGTTTCACTCAACAATCTTTTTAAATCTCTCCTCCGGGATTGTAATTATATATTGTACACACACATATATATACCACTGACTCTGAATTACTGTATTTTTGTATTGCACATATACTCAACTGTTAATATACCTCCCCCCTTCTCTCTCTCTCCCTCTCTCTCTCTCTCTCTCTCTCTCTCTCTCTCTCTCTCTCTCTCTCTCTCTCTCTCTCTCTGTAACGCTCGCTCACTCGCTCGCTCTTTTACCCTCATTTCTAACCTTTTCCCTGATTATTTCCCCTTCCTTTTGTTTGTGTTTCTCTCCTTCTTTTTATATCTCACATACGCTTTCTCTCTCAGCCTTACGATAGTTTTGGTCCAGGTTTCGCTATCGCCCCCTCCCCCTCCCTCTCTCTCTCTCTCTTCTCTCTCTCTCTCTCTCTCTCTCTCTCTCTCTCTCTCTCTCTCTCTCTCTCTCCTCTCTCCCTCCGTTTCCTTTTCTCACTCCCTCTGTCTCAGCCTTACGATAGCAGTTGAGGTCGATGTCCGCCATCGGGCCCTCCCCCCGAACGATCCACTCGGCCTCGAGGCACACGAGGGCGACGCCGTCCCTGCCGTCCTTCATCCGGAACCCTCGCGGACACCTCAGCGAGTGGCTGCGCCGGGGAGCCGGGGGGGGGGGGGGGGACATTAGCTTCAGTTCACATGAAGACGACTTTCCAAATGTACTATATTACACACTTTGAAGACTTACCAAGCAGACAGGAAAATGTATATGTATCTGCGTACATCAGTATAGAAATCCACAAATACACATAAATTAGAACAGATAATCAACAAAATTAGATTTATCAATTTAACATGTGGGTATGGACTAATTATAAATGGCAAATCAGCAATGCTATTGCCTACTGTCCCCCAGCTCTTCATTCCAGGGCCACAAATAAATGCGCTCCTTGAGGTATTTCTGTTAAATTTTACGAATCTCTGCCATAAAAAGGCAGATGTTTATCAGTTTGTGTGCAGATCGATGTATGCAAATCGCTCGCCCTCACCTGAAGAGATCCCCTTCCATGATCGTGTTGTTGAAGGTCTTTGACGGGTAATAACACGGCGTTTCCTGAGCTGCGCGGGTGAAAAGGGAGGCATTATAGGGATATGGATAGCTTCTGCTCTGTAATGTGTTGAAAGCCTCTCTGTGTTTTAGTGCAGTTACCGATCAGAACAGAACAGCAGAACGGGTGACATTAACCTATGGGTTCAGACATGAAGCCTCTCTTCTATTTAATAAAAGAAGTTGATCTAAATGTGCTTCACTGAAGTCAGCGAAGGATTACTCACGGGTACACTCCAGAGTGCTGTTGGCAGCGACGACCCGCTCTTCAGAGTGCCACTCTCCGTCCTGGCAATGCAGCGTTGCCACAGTGCCACCGTGTGGAAACGCATGCCCGGGTTCGCACTCTGCCGTTAGGTGCGTCTCATTAACTGTCAGATTGGCACTGATGGCCCTGACCTGGGGCTCTTCACAACGTCGCACCTGGCAGTGTTCGCCCGTGAACTGGTCTTCACACTGGCACTGGTTCGGTGCCACGCATCGTCCGCCATTCTGACAGCCCGGGCGCCCACAGGAAGCTATAAGATATGTGACCTTTGCAATGACGATGTATAAATGATGATTGCTCAAAATATGTATCTGCTTTTATGAAATGGTCATTGGTTTGGTCTTGGGAAAGTCGTAAATAGCAGCAGAGAAAATGAAGCTATGTTTTAGTGGAAGAAGACAATAACTGAAGCTGAAAGTATGATGAAGCGTGAACATATAGCACTCACGAGTGCCCCAGTCACTAAGGTTGCCCAAGCCATTCCTAATCCCGCATGAATGGGGTGGACTGGTTTAGAAAAGGCATCTGCAACAAAGCCAGCCAACTCAACCATGTAGATCTCTAACTTGATTTCCAAATTGAATAAGCGAGGAATGAACTGTTAAAGGCTGCCATCAGCGCTGTTGTCAGTAGGGTGTCATTGGAATCTATGCTACTTGTGAGAAGAGGGGGCGAGGAGAAAGGCCTGTCCAGCGGCAATAGGAAAGGAGGCGTAGAAGTGTTGAAGTGAGAGCTAGAACTTGATAATTGGCGCTAGTAAAGGGAGCGACATGACAGGCCAGGTGCGTCAAAAATGGATTCAAATTAGTTTACGGCTGTGTGGGTGGTAGGAGAAATGTAGGAGTAACCCCAGAGGAAAGGCATACCAAGAATGCATCAGGAATAGAAAATGGCTGACAAAGTGTATGATAAAGAAGAGTAAAGCTTGAAGGTGAAGGGTGGTGATAACAGAGACTTATCGTTGTCATCATTATTACTGTTTTAATTACATTGTGTTTATCAAAAATATTCTTACTCTTCGAAATTCATATTACCATTGCTGTTATAGCATTATTATTATTATTTCTTTTCTTATTGCTCTTGTTGTTTTTGTCTTCTTATTGTTCTTGTTATCACCATCATCATTGTTACTACTACGAAAATCATTATATATATAATTGTTGTTTTGTTAGTGTTTTGCTGTTGCGATTATTGTTGTTGATAATGGAATAGTTTTTAACTTGTACCTCAAATGAAGGAATAAAGAGCCATGCGGAGGTTTAATGTCTGTCTTCTAGTTTAGGTAGTTCCTCCAACAGTTCAAGAGAAGATCATATACTTACGCCGACACCTGAAGTCGTCCGGGAGGTCCCAGGCACCGTCCTTGCAGAGCGCCACTTCTCCAGACGCCGTGCCCGAGGGAAGAACGTATCCTTCGTGGCACTCCACTCGCAGTCCGTCGTCGTCAGTGCGTGTAAAGGTAGCCTGTGCGTCCGGGAATGAAGGCTCAGGGCACTCTCTCGCCTCGCAGTTCTTGCCCTTGTACCCAGGGCTACACTGGCACTGGCTCGGAGCTATGCAAGTGCCTCCATTTTGGCACCCATTTAAGCAGTTAGCTAAAGGACAGAATGATTATATTTTCCTTTATTTTTATTTTGTCTGTTGATATAAGGTGAAGTATAAAGCTGGCAAATAATTCTCATTTTAATAACTTATTCTTTGGCATCAAATTACATATTTAAACAGCAAAAGAGTGCAAAACCTTGATGACGTCAGCAGAGGCAATTCATCTCTCTAGGCCTATTACTAGCTCTTCTCTCCATCAACCTTCTGTAAAATGCCCTGCTGCACATCACTCTTTTCTAATACGGCTCAGTCGTCGTCCGTCAAACAAATTTTGTTCGAAAATCTGAGATTTGATGATTCATTCAAGCATAATAAGCATAATAACAACATTGGCCAATCAGCTGATGTGACGTCACTGAGGCTTTTTTTCCCCCCAAATTACTTGGAAAATATCTTGGTGACTTACGCTGACACCTGAAGTCGTCTGGGAGATCCCAAGCACCGTCCCTGCAGAGTGCCACTCCTCCAGGCACTGTGCCTGAGGGAAGAACGTATCCTTCGTGGCACTTCACTTGCAGTTCGTTGTCAGTGCGGTTAAAGCTAGCCTGTGCGTCCGGGAATGAAGGCTCAGGGCACTCTCTCGCCTCGCAGTTCTTGCCCATGTACCCAGGGCTACACTGGCACTGGCTCGGAGCTATGCAAGTGCCCCCATTCTGGCACCCTTTTATGCAGTTTGCTGAAGGTCACAACGAATGTTCATTATGATTATTTCCTTTGGCTCTACTGTACTGGGCTACACTGGCACTGGCTCGGAACTATGCAAGTGCCTCCATTCTGGCACCCACTTACACAATTAGCTGAATGACAGAATGAGGTCTTCTTTATAATTTCTTACTTTGCATTTTGCTCGATCTCTATTTCTTCTCTATGCATGTATATTTTTTTAAGGTACTGTATGGTTCTTGGTAACAAATTCTTTATACATTTGGCCCATATGTCGGCTATTGCACTAAGCTTATTTTGTGCTATGAAGTGGCAATTATTTCGATAACCCGTGAGACTAAAAGCCGTTGGGAGAATGTTTAACCTGTGTAAACAATCGTTCATAGACCCAGGAAACGGATTTTGCTACGAAGAAGCGTTTGAAAAAATATAATTTAATCATTACATATTTACCGCAGCTTGTCATAGTAACTGGCTTGATGCATTTAGACTTACATGTGTGCAGAAAATCAATATATTTCACAGTGGAAGAGTAGCATGACTTACACAGGTTGAAAATAAATGTCAGAAGATATCACTTATGGGTATGCACCGCGTGCTCAAATAACAATCTAATAAAATTGAAGTTATATGCATTGCATTCTAAATGATAACAAAAGGGATTCAAAACGAATGTTAATCAAGCAAATTCATCCACCATTGTTCTTATAGTGTGTTACCTTAAGTATTATTCTTAATATTATCATAATTATCATGATATTGTTTTTGTAACATCGCCATTACTATATTCAAGATCATAATCATGTTAATGAAGTTGTCACTGTTGTCACCATTATCATCATTCACAATATGCCGGGAATCGTTACTCTCTGTGTTTTGTTTTACTAATCCAATTATAAAAAAAAATTGTCCAGAGTGGTTATTGATGAAGGAACACCCCTGAAAGCGGCTAGAAAATATCTGTTACTTACACTGACACCTGAATTCGTCCGGGAGGTCCCAGGCACCGTCCTTGCAGAGTGCCACTCCTCCAGGCGCCGTGCCAGGGGGAAGAACGTATCCTTCGTGGCACTCCACTCGCAGTCCGTCGTCGTCAGTGCGTGCAAAGGTAGCCTGTGCGTCCGGGAATGAAGGCTCAGGGCACTCTCTCTCCTCGCAGTTCTTGCCCTTGTACCCAGGGCTACACTGGCACTGGCTTGGAGCTATGCAAGTGCCTCCATTTTGGCACCCATTTACACAGATAGCTGAGTGACAGAATGAGACCTGAATGATAGTTTTCTTGACCTGATTTTTATTTGACTTTCTCATTTAGGCGTAAAATATCTCAGAGCAGTTGAAGACCCCGCAGACATGGAGCTATGACCCGCTATTGTCTGCCTATGACCTGACTAGCATCACTTTAATTCACACGCTTCTTGCTATAGTTATTGTTGCTGATATACTTGTTATCCTGTTTATGTTGACTGATTAATTGGTATTTGACCTGCACTCTGATGACATCTCAAAGAATTGTGTTTACTTTTTCATATAAGGTACCCTACAATATATATATATATATATATATATATATATATATATACATATATTTTTTTTTTTTCGTGTAGGACCTCATATGAACCTCGAAACTTATGAGCCTACAAATCCGCCGCGAGGCCCTCTATCTCCGAGTTTTGAATATCTAGCCCCAGATATGTTGCATAAAGACTATTTCGTAATCGTTATAATAATTATCATTAGGAAGATTATCATTATCATACTGACAGTGTCCGTCATCTTTATGTGTAATAATCTTGGGAGAGTATTACTATAACAGTCATAATCATGTTCATATGAAGCTTTTACTGTAAAATATAACATCATTTTTATATCCCAGTCATGATTACTATCACTGCAGTTAATTTTGCTCTTAATGTTGACGATATTGCTCTTAGAATCGCTCCGATCACCGATATTATCACTAATAGTTCATTTTCATGTTTTCTCTTACCATTCTAAATACATTGACAAAATTGTTAGTGAAGATAACAAGAAGACAGAAGCTGGAAAATATCTATACTTACGCTGACACCTGAAGTCGTCCGGGAGGTCCCAGGCACCGTCCTTGCAGAGTGCCACTCCTCCAGGCGCCGTGCCAGGGGGAAGAACGTATCCTTCGTGGCACTCCACTCGCAGTCCGTCGTCGTCAGTGCGTGCAAAGGTAGCCTGTGCGTCCGGGAATGAAGGCTCAGGGCACTCTCTCTCCTCGCAGTTCTTGCCCTTGTACCCAGGGCTACACTGGCACTGGTTTGGAGCTATGCAAGTGCCTTCATTTTCGCACCCATTTACACAGGTAGCTGAGTGACAGAATGAGACCTGAATGATAGTTTTCTTGACCTGATTTTTATTTGACTTTCTCATTTAGGCGTAAAATATATCAGAGCAGTTGAAGACCCCGCAGACATGGAGCTATGACCCGCTATTGTCTGTCTATGACCTGACTAGCATCACTTTAATTCGCACGCTTCTTGCTATAGTTATTGTTGCTGATATACTTGTTATCCTGTTTATGTTGACTGATTAATTAGTATTTGACCTGCCCTCTGATGATATCTCAAAGAATTGTGTTTACTTTTTCATATAAGGTACCCTACAATATATATATATATATATATATATATATATATATATATATACATATATATATTTTTTTTCGAGTAGGACCTCATATGAACCTCGAAACTTATGAGCCTACAAATCCGCCGCGAGGCCCTCTATCTCCGAGTTTTGAATATCTAGCCCCAGATATGTTGCATAAAGACTATTTCGTAATCGTTATAATAATTATCATTAGGAAGATTATCATTATCATACTGACAGTGTCCGTCATCTTTATGTGTAATAATCTTGGGAGAGTATTACTATAACAGTCATAATCATGTTCATATGAAGCTTTTACTGTAAAATATAACATCATTTTTATATCCCAGTCATGATTACTATCACTGCAGTTAATTTTGCTCTTAATGTTGACGATATTGCTCTTAGAATCTCTCCGATCACCGATATTAACACTAATAGTTCATTTTCATGTTTTCTCTTACCATTCTAAATACATTGACAAAATTGTTAGTGAAGATAACAAGAAGACAGAAGCTGGAAAATATTTTGGTGACTTACGTTGACACCTGAAGTGATCCGGGATGTCCAGGCACCGTCCTTGCAGGGTGCCACTCCTCCGGGCACTGTGCCTGAGGGAAGAACGTATCCTTCGTGGCACTTCACTTGCAGTTCGTTGTCAGTGCGGTTAAAGCTAGCCTGTGCGTCCGGGAATGAAGGCTCAGGTCCCCCCCCCCCCCCTCTAGCTGAGTGACAGAATGAGACCTGAATGATAGTTTTCTTGACCTGATTTTTATTTGACTTTCTCATTTAGGCGTAAAATATATCAGAGCAGTTGAAGACCCCGCAGACATGGAGCTATGACCCGCTATTGTCTGTCTATGACCTGACTAGCATCACTTTAATTCGCACGCTTCTTGCTATAGTTATTGTTGCTGATATACTTGTTATCCTGTTTATGTTGACTGATTAATTAGTATTTGACCTGCCCTCTGATGATATCTCAAAGAATTGTGTTTACTTTTTCATATAAGGTACCCTACAATATATATATATTATATATATATATATATATATATATATATATATACATATATATTTTTTTTCGAGTAGGACCTCATATGAACCTCGAAACTTATGAGCCTACAAATCCGCCGCGAGGCCCTCTATCTCCGAGTTTTGAATATCTAGCCCCAGATATGTTGCATAAAGACTATTTCGTAATCGTTATAATAATTATCATTAGGAAGATTATCATTATCATACTGACAGTGTCCGTCATCTTTATGTGTAATAATCTTGGGAGAGTATTACTATAACAGTCATAATCATGTTCATATGAAGCTTTTACTGTAAAATATAACATCATTTTTATATCCCAGTCATGATTACTATCACTGCAGTTAATTTTGCTCTTAATGTTGACGATATTGCTCTTAGAATCTCTCCGATCACCGATATTAACACTAATAGTTCATTTTCATGTTTTCTCTTACCATTCTAAATACATTGACAAAATTGTTAGTGAAGATAACAAGAAGACAGAAGCTGGAAAATATTTTGGTGACTTACGTTGACACCTGAAGTGATCCGGGATGTCCCAGGCACCGTCCTTGCAGGGTGCCACTCCTCCGGGCACTGTGCCTGAGGGAAGAACGTATCCTTCGTGGCACTTCACTTGCAGTTCGTTGTCAGTGCGGTTAAAGCTAGCCTGTGCGTCCGGGAATGAAGGCTCAGGGCACTCTCTCGCCTCGCAGTTCTTGCCCATGTACCCAGGGCTACACTGGCACTGGCTCGGAGCTATGCAAGTGCCCCCATTCTGGCACCCTTTTATGCAGTTTGCTGAAGGTCACAACGAATGTTCATTATTATTTTCTTTGGCTCTACTGTATTTTCTTAAAAATGATAGCCAGAACCAGGAGCCAATTACTTTTTTTCAGCCAAAATTACTCTTAGGTATCATATGCTAAGTTTATCCAGAAAATTATTTGATTTTGTTCAATAGATTTGAAAAAAAACGGCAAACCTTGATGACATCAGCAAAGGCATCTCCCGAGGCCCGTCTCTGCTCTCTGTTAGTATCTTTCTAGAAACTTTCTCTCTCCTACTCTCCCTCCCCTGATCCACCCTCTCACTCTATGTCTGTCTGTCTGTCTGTCTGTCTGTCTGTCTGCCTATCTATATAACTATCTACCTACTTATCTATCTGTGTGTATGTCTGTCTGCTCGCGCCTGACATATTAAGAGCATCAGTCAATTACTTGATGTGACGTCACCAATAAGTATCTATTTTCATTAAAAATGCCATTCTTAACATTATCATAATTAGAATTATATTGTTAAAATATTCTTTCTTGCAGATGTTATCATTTTCATAACTATTAGCATATCACTATGATCATCATCGGCATCATCATCCTTACCATTACCTTCATCATTATTGTCGATGTTGTTATTATTGTTAATGAGGGGGAAAAAATCCTGAAAGAGGCTGGAAAATATCTTACGTTGACACCTAACGTCAATGTAAATATAATCTTGATCCTCAACGTTTTCTCTTGTTCTATTATTGACAAGTGATTGTCCAAAATTCTTAATGGAGATAACAAGACAGACGCTGCAAAATATCTATACTTACGCTGACACCTGAAGTCGTCCGGGAGGTCCCAGGCACCGTCCTTGCAGAGTGCCACTCCTCCAGGCGCCGTGCCAGGGGGAAGAACGTATCCTTCGTGGCACTCCACTCGCAGTCCGTCGTCGTCAGTGCGTGCAAAGGTAGCCTGTGCGTCCGGGAATGAAGGCTCAGGGCACTCTCTCGCCTCGCAGTTCTTGCCCTTGTACCCAGGGCTACACTGGCAATGGCTCGGAGCTATGCAAGTGCCTCCATTTTGGCACCCATTTATGCAGTTAGCTAAGTGACAGAAGGAGACCTGAATGATGGGTTTCTTGACCTGATTTTTTATTTAACTTTTTCATTTAGGCATATATATAGATATATATATATACATACATATATATATATATATATATATATATATATATATATATATATATATTCTTGTATTTCATATACTCTGTCTCTTTTAAGGTCTATTTCTTGCGATTTTTATTTGACTTTCTCATTTAGGCGTAAAATATCTCAGAGCAGTTGAAGACCCCGCAGACATGGAGCTATGACCCGCTATTGTCTGTCTATGACCTGACTAGCATCACTTTAATTCGCACGCTTCTTGCTATAGTTATTGTTGCTGATATACTTGTTATCCTGTTTATGTTGACTGATTAATTGGTATTTGACCTGCCCTCTGATGACATCTCAAAGAATTGTGTTTACTTTTTCATGTAAGGTACCCTACAATATATATATATATATATATATATATATATATATATATATATATATATAAATATATATATATATATATATATATATATATATATATATATATATATATATATATATATATATATATATATATATGTATATACATATGTCTATATATTTTTTCGAGTAGGACCTCATATGAAACTCGAAACTTATGAGCCTACAAATCCGCCGCGAGGCCCTCTATCTCCGAGTTTTGAATATCTAGCCCCAGATATGTTGCATAAGGACTATTTCGTAATCGTTAAAACAATTATAATTAAATAGAATATCATTATCATACTGACAGTGTCCGTCATCATTATTTGTAATAATCTTGGTAGAGTATTACCATAACAGTCATAATCATGTTCATATGAAACTTTTACTGTAAAATATAACATCATTTTTATATCCCAGTCATGATTACTATCACTGCAGTTAATTTTGCTCTTAATGTTGATGATATTGCTCTTAGAATCGCTCCGATCACCGATATTATCACTAATAATTGAATATAATTGTAGTGACAAATGGTTGTCCTAAATTCTTAATGAAGATAACAAGAAGACAGAAGCTGGGAAATATCTGTTACTTACGCTGACACCTGAAGTCGTCCGGGAGGTCCCAGGCACCGTCCTTGCAGAGTGCCACTCCTCCAGGCGCCGTGCCAGGGGGAAGAACGTATCCTTCGTGGCACTCCACTCGCAGTCCGTCGTCGTCAGTGCGTGCAAAGGTAGCCTGTGCGTCCGGGAATGAAGGCTCAGGGCACTCTCTCTCCTCGCAGTTCTTGCCCTTGTACCCAGGGCTACACTGGCACTGGCTTGGAGCTATGCAAGTGCCTCCATTCTGGCACCCATTTATGCAGTTAGCTGAGGAACAGAATAAGACTTTAATATGATTTCTTTCCTTTTTTTATTCAATTATAGTTTTTCTTTTACAGATGTTTCCATTTTCTGAGTTGATGTTTCTTTGAGGCGACAGCTAGAGCCGGGAACCAATTCTCCTTTTTTGTCAAAACTAACTCCTCATATTATTAATGTTATCAACAAATGGTTTGCACCTGATAACCCTGACATTCGCCCCTAAAGCGGTGCTGCCAAATAAATATTTTCAGTTTAGAGAAAAGAGCGGGAGACCAAGATGACAACGATGAGGCCTCCGTCTACCCAGGCTGGTCCGCGGCTCCTCTCTTGGGAAACCTGCAACCTCTATTATTCTGTCTCTGTTTCTGTATCTCACAGTCTTTCATTACCTTATTCCCTCAATCTCATTTATTAATTTTTCTGTTCTCTTTTTTTCTCGATTATCTTTTCTCTTCCTCTCTCCATGTCTCTCTTACATTCCTTTCTCTATTATTGTCTGTTTCTTCCTTACTGTCATTCATTTATTCATTAATCCTCCTGTTCACTGTTGGATTCCCCTCTAAACACGTAATGCCGTACTTCACCCTTTTGCGCTACATATATTACGTCTGCTAAACATATATATATATATATATATATATATATATATATATATATATATATATATAATATCTTTGACGAAATATCAATATCATGGAGACTTACGCTGACACCTGAAATCGACCGGGAGGTCCCAGGCACCGTCCTTGCAGGATGCCACTCCTCCAGACGTCGTGCCCGGGGGAAGAACGTATCCTTCGTGGCACTCCACTCGCAGTCCGTCGTCGTCAGTGCGTGCAAAGGTAGCCTGTGCGTCCGGGAATGAAGGCTCAGGGCACTCTCTCGTCTCGCAGTTCTTGCCCTTGTACCCAGGGCTACACTGGCACTGGCTCGGAGCTATGCAAGTGCCACCGTTCTGGCACCCATCTATGCAAGTAGCTGAAGGACAATGATATTTGCGCTTTGGTTCTCTTTCTCTGATTTTTATAATTTCCCTAACAGATGTTTTAATATTTAATATTATATTGATATATTTTGGAAGCGACAGCCAGAGACAATTCTCTTTCTTTTTTGTTAAAATTGTTCTTTTACGTATATGACAAATTTCAACAAACCCTTTAAACCTTTATAAGTAGTTCTGACAACATCCACCCGGGAAAAAAGCGCAAAGCCTTGATGTCGTCAGCAGAGGTACTCTCCCAGGCCCGTCTCTGGATCCTCTGTTTAACAAGTTTCCAAACATTCTTTTCCTAAGTATCTACACTCCATCTCTTCTTTCATTCATTATCTCTCTTTTGCGTTTTTCTCTACCATTCACTCATTCCTTCTATATTCACTCACTCGCTTCCTCTTCGTTTTCCTTTTCTCTCCCTCTCTCCTTTCTCTCTTTTCGTCCATTTCTTTCTTTTTCTCATTCCCCTTTTCATGCATCCTCCTTCTTTCCGTCTTTACGTGCGTCTAGGCACACCTCGATCTGTCATCGTCGTAATTTTGATTTCGTATTAGATGATAAGCATCGGACCTAGCAGAAGCGTCGGCTAAACACTTGATGTGACACCATTGTGTTTTCCTGCGCTTGGATCTCATGGGCGATTTCCATCAAGAGTACTCATTGTATATATGGCTATTATCATTGTAAATAGTATTCCTAATATTATCATGCTCACGATTAGCCTTATCATCACTATCGTTGTCATCAGTTAGGTGAAGGACCCGTCCAGCAGACACGTAGACTTTTCCTAAAGGATTCTAGTGAGATTTTCTAGAGTATTCTAGTTTATGGTATGGAATATTTTGCTAGCATCAATAGAAACGAGGATTTTTTTGTGTTATTTATGACCGTTATAACAGCATCGAGTAACTTTTATTTATCTAGCCATTTCTGGCATCCCATGGGTGTGTAATTTACTGCCGCTTCTTTGTGACCCTTGTTAATCTCTGGAATGCAATGCAATAAGTTTCTTTAATACCTCCGTTCATGATGAAGCTCTCAGAATCTGTACAGGGGCTTTCAGGCCTTCACCTGTGGAGTCGGAACTACTCCACAGATGAACTACATGAACCTTATTTACTACACAAGACTACAAAAGATTCCGGGATCTCCTTCATCCAGATTGGTTTTCAACCCCCTGAGGATAGCCAATCCTATGGTAGGAGAATGAGGAATCTTGTGGAAGATCTTAATTTAAATCTCACAAAGGTTCTGGCTGTTGGAAATCCCCAGTTCCCCCTTGGACCAACCAAGTCTAGCTGGATTTAGTTGTAATAGGGAAGGGGGAGAGATCCGAGTCAGAAGTCTTCAACACACTTCTAAGTACTAAGGATGCGATGCAATATATACAGATGATTCGAAATCTGAATATGGTGTGGGTTTTTCAGCAGTGAGCAGGAGGAAGATTGCAGATGGCAGTCTTTCTTCGGCAGCCTCGGTCTTCACTACATGTCATCCTTGCAGCAGTTAAGATGACTAGAGATCTTTCGAACTATTCTATTGTAATATATTGCGACTCTCGTAGTGCTTTGCAAGCTAACTCTTTACATCCACTGGTGAGGGAGGTTCAAAACTGATGTCAGCATGTTCTGGTGCCAGAACATGCTGGCATCAATGGGAATGAGCGAGCTGATCGGAGGGTCAAGGCAGCTGCCGCTCAGCCCTGTGGTGCTCGCTTTCCTCTCCCACACACCGACTTAAAACCTAGTATCAGACTTCTTCGCGATAAATGGAGGGGGCAATGGAGGCATACCTCTAGAAATAAATTGCGAGATATTAGAGTTGACCTTGGCAGTTGGGTGACCAGCATCCATCCCAACCAACAAGTAGAAATTGTGTTAACAACACTAAGAACCGGGCACGCAAGCCTGACTCATGGGCCGATGATGGCTAAGAGTGAAGCGCTTTGTGAGGGATGCAAGAGCCATTAACTATCGCACATGTAGTGGACAGATGTGCAACATTCTCAGACCATACACAATGAAAAATGTATTTGGGGAGGATTGTGACATTATTAGTTTCCTAAGAAAGACAATTTTTTTCAATAAAATTTAGATATGTACACTATATATGCAATAATTTAAGACATTTAGAACATAATATTTATGCTTTGATTTTTAACATGATATCTATTATTATATATATTTATTAACAAGACAATTATTGATAGATTTTTACGGTTTTAAATATTTGAAAAATTCAATCCAACAATGTATTCGTCGCTAATGACCTTAGCTGTTGACGCGGCAGATAATTTTAAATAATCAATCAATCAAATGCGCAGTTGTTCAGCATCACTAATACATAATTAAAAATGTTTGTTGCATGAGAAGAAAAAAAATCTATAGCCACTGAAACGACTAAACACTCCTATGCATTTTTGGCAACGTGCTCTAACACTTGTAACAATAGAAAAGTATGTCTGCTTCCGCGCCCATCCCTCCCACATTCAACAGACATGCGTGTTTCACTTCTCACTGTAACATTTTTCTGGCTCTCCTGGCTGAGGACAGAGAAACCCTATTAATAGTTACGGCTCATAACGGGAAGTGACTGGAATGGTGATGTTCATCTTTTAAAGACTGTGTTTGTTTGTTGCCTTCTACAGCATTCTTTCCCTGACTCCTTTTCATTCATGTACTCCTTTACAGAAAATTCTTTAAAATTCTTACTTCGTTTCTCTTTCATTCAATCACATTCTCGGTTTGCCCTTCTGTATCTCTCAAGTCATTCATTCCCTCATTCCACACTCATTTGTTCATTCTTCTATTCTCTCTTTTTCTTTCTTATATTTTCTCTCCATTTCCCCCTTTCTCAGTATACCCACCACTCATTCCTTCCCTTTCTCTCTCATTGTCCATTTCTTCTTTTCTCATTCATTTATTTATTCAAGATTCTTCTTTCCGCTATTTCTGAATTTCCTAACTCATTCTAATAGGATTCCACTCTAATCCTGCATTGTTACATCTCTGTCGTCGTCAGCAAAATAGATTTCGCCCAAAGAAAATGAAATGTCATTCGATTCGGCGTTACACACAGGAGCAGCCTCGGCCCATCTCCTGGCCCCGCCATCAAGGCTTCCTGCTCTTTTCTGGAATTCCATTTGGGTTCTGCGGCCAGGTGGACTCCACGGGCGATTCCCGCCAAAACTACTTGAAACGTGGCTGTTCCATTATAAGTATTATTCTTGATATTTTCATGATGTCCATCACAATTACCGTGATCAATATTATCATCGTCATCATCATCTTTACTATTATTGTCATTATCATTTTGGGATTGTTGCTTGTGGTAATAAAGAAGAAACATTCTGAAAGAGGAAAATATCTTGGAGACTTACGCTGACACCTGAAGTCGTCCGGGAGGTCCCAGGCACCGTCCCTGCAGAGTGTCACTCCTCCAAGTACCGTGCCTGGGGGAAGAACGTATCCTTCGTGGCACTCCACATGCAGTTCGTCGTCAGTGCGGGTAAAACTAGCCTGTGCGTCCGGGAACGAAGGCTCAGGGCACTCTTTCACCTCGCAGTACTTGCCCTTGTAGCCAAGGTTACACTGGCACTGGCTTGGGGCTATGCAAGTGCCCCCATTCTGGCACCCCTTTTTGCAGTTAGCTGCAAGGCAGATATGTCTCGTTTTACAAAGAGTCTTGTGCAGAATCCTGCACAATATACGTATAACTGACAAAGATTGGAATATAAATAGACACAGAATAAAAACGCACTTACGGACACAGCTGGGAGCGGACTGACGCCAAGGTTGGCCGTCGTGCATAAATTGCCCCGTCTCCTGGTTGCACGTGAGGTAAATCTTCCTTTTGCCTTGAAGCTTATATCCGGAATTGCATTTGAGTCTACAACCACTGCAGAGAGACATAGGAAAATAGATGATGCAGCAGACATTTTTTTTATTTCCATAACCACCATGATTTTGGTCTATTACTTCAGGATCATTGTCATTATTGGCATTACCACTATCCTTATTAGCATTATTACTGTAATTTTTGTTGCTATTAGTTTATCATTTTTAATACTCAACATTTGTTTTAGCAATATGATCGTTACCTTTCATTATCACTATCACTGTTATAATCATTGTTGGTTTCATCATTATCATCATCATTGTTATCACTGAAATTTGTAGAAAAACCCACAGTGCAGAAACCATTTGCATTGTCATTAACAGAAAACAGGTATGCAGATTATCAGAGTATCGGTAATCTTCAACAAGACGATTTGAATGTCATTGTAGTTTCAGTGTCCTATTCTATGGGAGGCAAGATGAAGTACTGAATATTTTTCTCTTGGGACCGATAAAAAAGTAGAAGGATATATAAATAAAAACGATAGTTATTGATCTTTTAAACACTCATATAACATATTGCTTAACATAACGTTATACCTTGACAGTTTTAAATCCTCAGCGTGCCCAGTTTTTACAAAAATCCAAAATTCCCGCTTTAGAGAATACCATAAACAATATTTTACCCAATCACATAAGAAATTTTTAAAATTACATAAAAAAATGAAAATAAAATATATAGATATATATTAAACGACACTCACGTGAACATACACTCGATGCGTCCGTTGATCACCTCGCCTGCCTGGTCTGCGGCACACTCTGGGGAGGCAGAGGCAGTCCATACTAACTAAATCAAGCGTAAATCTTTTTATATATAAAAATGGAGGGTGTGTTTTTGAGAGACACAAATCCTATTGTTATCCATGACTTTGAGAGAGATAGATAAATTAATGGAGACAGAGATAGAGAGATAGAGAGAGGGAGAGAGAGAGAGAGAGAGAGAGAGAGAGAGAGAGAGAGGGAGGGAGGGAGAGAGAGAGAGAGAGAGAGAGAGAGAGAGAGAGAGAGAGAGAGGTGAGAGAGAGATGTAGATAGATAGATAGATAGATAGATATGTAGATAGATAGATAGATAGGTAGATAGAAAGATAGAGAGAGAGAGAGGTGAGTGAGTGAGGAAGATAAAGAGAGAGAAAGAAAGAGAGAGGGAGGGAGGGAGGGAGGGAGAGAGGGGTGAGAGAGGGAGAGATAGATAATTAGATAGATAGAGAGAGAGAGAGGTGAGTGAGTGAGGAAGATAAAGAGAGAGAAAGAAAGAGAGAGGGAGGGAGAGAGGGGTGAGAGAGGGAGAGATAGATAATTAGATAGATAGATAGAGAGAGAGTGAGAAAGAGAGAGATGGGTAGATAGATAGATAGATGAGAGAGAGAGGGTAAGAGACTGTATGTGCCTCTAAACAATGGTTATGACTGGTTGGGCAGTAATAGTTTTTACACGGCTTGACTATTTCTGGAGAAGAGTACAACACAGTTAATGAATACGATGCTCTTGGAGTAAGCGCTGAGCGCAGTGTCGCGTGTCCGGCCGGAGGCTGGTGGAGACCTGGGCACGGTGACTTCTGCAGGGCGAACTGAAAGCTCAGACGAGGTCTGATGTATTCATCATCTGGGCCCCGTTGAGGTGATGGTTTCAAATTGATACAAAGCCACGTGTTTGGATCCCATGCGGTATTCTGGTTTGATGACTTGCACAAATCTTGCTTATATGCGTGCCATATTGCTCGGCCACCTACTGACGCCTTGCCCTCGAGGCGCCTTGGACTGGCCTCAAGGGGTGAACCAACTTTGGCTGGTTATCTCGTTCTCGTGTGCGCTGTCCTCGATTCATCCTCGTGGTTGCTCGTCCTTGTCGTCCTCTTCTACATCCTGGTCCTTGGTGAATCAATCCGTCCTTGACATCCACATGTCCAGGAAGGTCTCGCACAGGTCCTCCTCAGTGACGACGACAAGCAGATGTGGTCCCACGCCCTAAGCAAGCCAGAGGAGAAATGACCCAAAGAAGTCAGTCTGAGTCCGTCCCTTGACCCGTTCGTAGACTTAGTCTATGCTCCATGTGAACTTCAACTGTTACGGTCAAGGTATCTCGAGTATACTGTCTTTATACATACAACAGCCCAACCGCTATATTCTACAAAAAATACCCATACCATGAGTATATTCAAATAAATTATAAATTATAGTTATAATGGTGCGAGCGATCATGTTTGAAAGCGGAACCACATCATGCAACAAAGTGGTCATGAATATAATTTAACCTTTTCTTCATAATAACATTTATTTCTTCGCTTATTATGATTACAAATAAAACGTACACTTTATTTATTTTTATGATTATTTGCGCGTGGAAAAAGTGTTTGAATATCCGGCTACCGCTATAAGCTAGCCGGATAAGCTCTTTTGATTCATAGATTGTAAGATTACGCTTAGGCTTTGCTACCACTCAAGTGCTTGTTCCAATAGTTCCATTATCAGCTGTGCTGTTTTTCCAACGTGTTGTACTCTTCAACCAGTAAAGAATCATGCCGTACTTAGCAAACTATCATTGCCCTTCCAGTTCAGTAGGACGAGGCTCTATAAGATCTAATTAGAACTTTTTACAGAGAGAGAGAGAGATAATAGAAGAGGATATATAGGGACAGAAAGGAGAGACTGACAGATTATTAAAATAAATAGCTGCTTGTGACAGAAATATGAAGGTAGGTGCGACAAAAAAATCTTAAAGGGCGCCGCCGTCAACATGGGAGACAGTTCACTCTCAGACTTCTTTAGTGCTTGTGAAAATGATTCTTCGCGGAGACCGAATGCAAAATAAACATTATTGACAGGGATTCCACAAGGCTAATATCCTCGTCTGACCTCTAGACGATGGTGGTTTACGAAGGTTGATGTTACTGAGTAGCCGCCATGACAACATATTATGGAGTTTGTCAGAAGTTACTCATTCTAGAAACTATCACTTATCATCTGACCTGCAATTTGCCAAAAGTTGGGACCAACAAAGAAAAAAACTTTCATTATGTATTGATTATACATATATCACTCAAAATCTGGAACAGTCTTTGCAGTAATCTGCTGTCGTAAAGCTAAGAAAAGATGTCCAAAAGTCTCTATTTACCACCACTAGGAAATAAAAGGATGGAGAGAAAGGCGAGATTCCTATAACAAACAAATGAAATATAGCCTGGAGCCAGACCAGTGAAAGAATCCTCACGAAGAATGAGGAAAACACTCTACCGTGTTGATACTGTTGAAAGTGAGACGACAGTTTCGGAATCCACCTGGATTCCATCCTCACGAAGGAATGATACGCGGAACAAGTAAACAGAACCCAAAGCGAGCTGCTGGAGAGTTGTTACAAATGAACATATTTATCTATGATATTCTTTTATGCCGTTCAGCCTTTGGCTGTCGAAACGCCATCTTTGACATGTCCACGACTGTCCTTTATTGATTATATTCATGCGTTTCTTCTTACGCCCTCCTTGCACTGCACCCTTTCGGAATTGCCTTCGCTCTCACTGAAGAACTGGGACGTGAAGCAGCATGTCGCTTTCCCTTTCCTGGTGTTAGTGAGTTATCATGTGCTCTAGCTAAGTGTTAAGGGGTGGGCGAGACGAAACACTGATGTAAGGCTGGTGTGCTTTTAATTTAAGACAGTTTTATTATACACATAGGGCGGTATTCACGAAAGATCTAAGATTGTTCTTAGTTTCTAAGGTCTAATACTGAGAACATAAACTCACAGAAGAGTTGGACGCTACAGAAAGGTCCTATATATCCCATGCACAGCTCCTTAGCAGCTTTTATCAGTCTAGTAAAAATACTTACCCTTGTAATACGAAGCTACAGTCGGCCTCCAGATCCCACTGTAAAGAAAAGTAAAATATTCTGAAGCACAACTTTGATTTTCCATTTTATATTTTTCCACATTCGATATTCAATATTATTTATAGCGATTCTGAAAGGATAGATTAGCCTGTCGATTGCTAGTGACCATCGATCACACTGATAATATGATTATTATGATCAATGTCACTGTAATTATTACTCTTATTACTATCATCATCATCATACTTATTATTACTATTACCATCATTATCATTCTAATTATTATTGTTGCCGATGTTATTGTTATTACCAATACAGATATTGTGATCATTCTTATTATTATAACTGTCATTCTTATTATTATCATCATCACCATCATCATCACTATCGACATCGTCATGATCATCGCCACAGGTATGGTCATGGTCATGGTCATCATTATCATCATCATCATCATCATCATCATTATCATTATTACTATCATCAAGATTACTGTTTTCACTATTATCATGATTACTATCATTATTAACAAGAAGTGATAATGGTACATTTTATGAAGGAGCATACTTATATCAATAATGGTATTATGTGCGGTAGCATACACTTTGAAACAATCCTCCTGGAGCCGTCTCGTCGAGGGAAGCGACAAAATGGATTCCATGGGCACCTGAGGCCAGCGAGAAGGGATGCCCCCCCCCCCCCCCCGTCATGCCATCTTGCTCTCGAGAGAAATCTTCTTGCGTACAGGATTACAGGGGTTGAAATATATTGCAAGCTGTGCAGCATGATGTCTCAGCACTTGTGGAGCCTTTTATATGAAACGGTTGATAAATTGGAATCACAGTGGACACGGGTGGCATCCTCATGCCATCCCAGCAAGTGGGTATAGTACACACTATCAATTAATGTATTCCATTTGCGAGATAACGACATCAGGCACTGTAACTCACCACACTATATAGATCAGGGTGAAAAAAATCACAGCAGCCATGATGCTGCTTGGGTCAGAACGAGGGAGGGACGAGTGCACTGTCCGGTCAAGGGAGATGAACTGAGAGAGGAGAGGAGAGGGAGATAGAGAGCGAGATAACGGCAACATCCGGGAAACTCGGGTGTGTATATGTTTATGTGTTTGTGTTTTTTAACTGTATGTCTTGAATAAACTTTCTTTCCTTTTATTATTTATCTGTTCTCTCTTTTCCTTATTTGTGAAGAGACACAAAAACACGAAGAGAAAGAAAGAGGATAAACATAACTGCAATTACGAATGTATAAAGGTTAATATGAGGGTTATTGACATGGTCAACTGAAGAAATCAGTGATAGTTTGTTTGTAGTAAGGAATGTTTGCTAAACCTGTACGCTTATATATTCAGATGATATACCACATGGAGTTCTCTCCTATATGAACACATAAGTTACAGATAATTTACATTAGGCACTGATACTGAAATTATATATACTAACGGGACCTGTGGAAATATTTGGAAAAAAATCTCTCTCCCTCTTTCACCCTCCTCCTGCCTCTGGCCTCCTCTCGCCCCTCTCCTCTCCATCTCTCTCTACGTTTCTCTTTCCCATTTCCCTCCGCTCCCTCCCCTACTTCCTTGCTCTCTTACCCCCTCCCTCCCCCATCACCCTTTTCTCTCTGAGCCCCCCTCTCCCTACCCCCCTCACCCTTTTCTCTCTGAGCCCCCTCTCCCTCCCCCTCCCTTTCCCTTTACTTGCCCCCCCTGTCCCCTCCGTTTCTTCTCTCTTCCCCTTCTCCATCTCCCTTTAATGGTACTGGTAATGATAATAATAAATTTAGGGTAGGATTCTAGTAGATTTATCATATGATGCCTTTAATACCGATCTATAACCACTGGCGTGTATATGTATGTGTGTGTGTGTGTGTGTGTGTGTGTGTGTGTGTGTGTGTGTGTGTGTGTGTGTGTGTGTGTGTGTGTGTGTGTGTGTCTGTGTGTGTGTGTGTGTGTGTGTGTGTGTGTGTGTGTGTGTGTGTGTGTGTGTGTGTCTGTGTGTGTGTGTGTGTGTGTGTGTGTGTGTGTGTGTGTGTGTCTGTGTGTGTGTGTGTGTGTGTGTGTGTGTGTGTGTGTGTGTGTGTCTGTGTGTGTGTGTGTGTGTGTGTGTGTGTCTGTGTGTGTGTGTGTGTGTGTGTGTGTGTGTGTGTGTGTGTGTGTGTGTGTGTGTGTGTGTGTGTGCATATGTATGAAGATGTATTTGATAAATCCCTTCAGTGAGAATAAAGAGAAAAACGCGAGTCGAGATTTAAAGGAGAGTCTGCTACAGGATTTCAGATACTCTCGAGATCTTACGACAACGCGATAACGAAGCTTATGAAACAGAGTAAATAACTGAACATGAATTTACGTACAAAACATTCAAATAAACGCTCAGGGATTTTACGTAATTTGCCGTGCTTAATCGCCAAGGGAAGGTTTGTCCAATATTTCCCTTCTTCTTTGTTGAAAGATAAGCGGACTTGCATTTTTTCTTAAAGATGGGGGGAGGGAAGGGGGTAGAGAGCAGTTGTGTACGTGGGTGAGATGTGCAATAACTCCTCAGACGGGATTTCCTCTCTCTCTCTCTCTCTCTCTCTCTCTCTCTCTCTCTCTCTCTCTCTCTCTCACTCACTCACTCACTCTCTCTCTCTCTTTCTCTCTCTCTCTCTCTCTTACTCTCTCTCTCTCTCTCACACAGACACACACACACAAATTCACTCATAATTGCGTGTTCACGCACAAGGTCAAAATAGGCCTTTCTCACACACACATACACGTTTATTCGATACATTTATACGCACGTAGATACAGACAAATACGTACATATACACTTACACATACACACACACAAGCGCACACTCTCACGAGCACATACAGATACGCAGACGTACGCATGGGTAGGCTTACATATACATATACGCACAAGTACAAACCAAGCAAAAATGGTGTGCCAGCTCTGGCACCAGACATCCTCTAGCATTGTGGCGGCTTATGCGACAAGCCCACTGAGGTGCATTTGCGTGTGCATCAGTGCGTGTCATGATCATTACGATAGTTTTCGGTCATATTATAGTTGCTTTAATCACTAATGCTAATTGTTCTTTATCACAATTCATGACCATTGTTACTGTTGTCAGTTTTGTTCTCACTGCAATAAACACTTGCCATCTTTACCGTTACTGTAATTCTTGATCTTATATTCCACCGTACTATTGTCATTACGAGTAGTACAGCTAAGCCATCTTTATTTTATTCTCATTTCTACTGTTTGTTTACATTTATATGCGTGTATACGTGTGTATCTATATCTATCTATCTATTTATATGTATATATATACATACATATATATATATATATATATATATATATATATATATATATTACATATGTAATATATATATATATATATATATATATATATATATATATAAATATATATATTACATATGTAATACATATATATATATATATATATATATATATATATATATATATATATGTGTGTGTGTGTGTGTGTGTGTGTGTGTGTGTGTGTGAGTGTGTGTGTGTATACATATATATATATATATATATATATATATATATATATATATATATATATATGTATATATATATATATATATATATATATATGTATATATATATATATATATATATATATATATATATAAACATATATATATATATAACAGCGAGGTGGCAACACCTCTTTACATGGAGTGGATGATACAAGAAGTGTATGTACATACCATTGTGGATAGGTTTCCTGTATATGGAGAAAGAAAAGTGGTCAGCAGAGCGATGGACTAGGGTGTCCAAAAAAAGGAGTCAATCTCCCATTCCACCTTGAAATGGATGGAAGGAGAGAAAAAGTTCAGCTGCGTCAGAAAACACGAGAACGGCATACTTCAGCCAAACCGACGGACGAAGCGAAATGGAAAAGGAAAAGGAATTAGACTCACGCAGACGAACAAGCTGGAGGGAGACGTCGGAGGGAAAAGGGAGCTTCCTCTGAAAGAGAGCGAGGACGGCATCAAGCGGAACCTTGGCGAACAGGGAGTCGACATCGCTTGTTGTTGTGGTTGCAGAAGCAGAAGAGACGTGATTTGTTATTGCTCATATGAACTGTCTCTGATTCACTTATATTTTATGGTATGGCTTTCGACTAATAAACGTAATCAGGTTTATATGGTTTATTTGGACACAGAGTATACAAATTCAGTGAGTTTTGTGCTTTGTGTCTTCTGCCTAGAGGAAGCCTGCAATATGTTTTTGTTTTTGTTGTTTTGTGATATAAAGATGAAAAGATAAACTACAAAGTTGCAGAAACTTTGATGTTCATTTAGAGCATCAATCGACCACACTAATGAAGATGCCTTTGCCTAGAGTGGCAGAGATACAAGGCCCTGAAGACATAAATGGTTGACAAGCATGAGTAACAGTGGTGATATGATCAAACGCTATTGAATAACAAAGATAAGAATAAAAGTTTGCAATCGGCTTCAGTAACCATGGCGTGCTGAGAGACCAGGAGCCGCTCGACTTGCCTCCTGACGGCGATGGCGCAACTCGGCCGTTACATTGTCCATCGAGCAAACATTGCGGTTTGCCAGTTATTTCACTCGCTGATGACTGGGTAATATTATGATATGCTCATAAATCGTAATGCTATGTGATTCTAACGTTTGTGTACTTTAATTAAGACAATTCTGCTCTCTCTCTCTCTCTCTCTCTCTCTCTCTCTCTCACACACACACACACACACACACATATACACACATGTGTGTCCACCAGTCCACCAGTTCACCAGGCTGATTATGCCTGGTGGACATCCAAAGAAAAAGATACCATAGAAACACACACCCACACCCACACACACGCACGCACACACACAATGATTTATATTTACATATATATATATGTGTGTGTATGTGTGTGTGTGTGTGTAGTGTATATATATGTGTACACACACACACACACACACACACACACACACACATATATATATATATGTATATATAAATCATTCTACCGTGGGGGAAGGAGAGTTGGTTGGTCTCTAGCGTTGGTTTGTTGAGGCTCTACTGGCTCGACGACGGCTGCGCCCTATGGTTTCCCCCTCCAATCGTTGGTCGATTGTCTTTTCTGCTTGTGCAACATGGTGTGTCCATTCTTTGCGATCCTTTGTGATCCGCTCCCATGCTAGAAGAAAGCTTTAGTTACCCATTCGGATGACGTGACCGGTCCATCTGAGCTGGCACTGGGTATGGATGGCTTCAACACTAGACATGTCTGCAAGGGCTCTCACCTCGGAATTTGAGATCCTTTCTCTCCAGCTGATTTTAAGGAGTTGTCGGAGGTGTGACATCTGTATTCTCTGTAATCTCTTGATATGGCGTCTGTATAGCGTATATGTTTCCGCTGAGTAGGGCAGGCAGGAGAGTAGCACTGCACGGTTCACTTTACATTTTCTTTGGGGACGTATGCCTTTACGCTTCCCTACTTGCGTTTGCAGTTTACCAAAGGCTGTTGAAGCTACATTGATTCCCCTTTTAATTTTCTTATCCAGAATGTTGTCTCTGGAGAGGGTGCTGCCAAGGTAAGTGAAGTGCTTCCCGTACAAGAGCAAGCTTCCATTGAAGATGTTGGGTTGTGATGGTTGATTGTCAGTCCAAGGCTTCTGCCCGCAGTTGAAAACATCCAACATGTTCTGTAGCTTAGCTCATGAGTGGGATACCAATGCTGCATCATCAGCATATAGTAGCTCTCTGGCACACAGTGTCCTGGTCTTTGTACTTGCTTTTAGGCACCTGATGTTGAAGGCGCCTGATGTTTTCATTTGAGCGGGTTGTTATATATTTGCTTTCGGTGGTGTGAGACAGTCAAGGACTACTGCGATGTAAAGCGAGAAGAGGGAGCTAGCACATAGCCTTGTTTGACACTTGGTTACCGCTGTAGTTTTCTGATGAGGTGCCTCCATACTTGACTTGGGCCATCATGCTAGTGTGAAGTTGTTCAATAAGGCTGATTATGCCTTGTGGACATCCAATGAAGAAG